TAAAGCCATGTTTTCTCTCGCAAACAAGTTCTCACCCCCATCTGCAGGTAATGAAAAGGGAGACGTGATCATATTTGAGCCATCTACTTCGGAGCATGTTTCGTGCCGCACCATCTTTGATCCCATTACCGCTCTAGCCCCCGCTACGGATTGTCGAACATATGCTATTGGGTATGTACACTGCGCCCTAGTGGTTGTGGCAGTTGAATGGTCTATCTGATTGGCGTAGTTATCAAAATGGTTCGATTATGCTCGCGACACTGCACCCAACCTTCAGCATATTACATACCATGTCCACTTCGCGAGGACCATCGGCGATAATCTCGTTAGCGTGGCATGCGTCCTCATCTAAGCAGAAGTCAGATATGCTAGCCACTTTGGCGGCCAATGGTGATTTGAGAGTTTGGAGTGTAGCAAAACCGCCGCAGAAAGAAGCCCCACGCGTTATCAGAGTGCTCAAGAGGTCTGATGGCTCCCCAGCCACCGAACCGAAGTGGATGGCTTGGTCTAAGAATGGTAGGATTGTGCAGTACCTTGAAGGGTAAGCAGGCGCCCGCCATCTTCCCTCGGGTTGCGAGGCTAAACACCGTCAACAGTGAAACGTGGGCTTGGGATGTCAGGACAAAGCACGTCACGTATGAGCCCATCCCCACCATCGACAACCCACGTGGCTTTGCCAACTATGGACCGACCGCCACACTATTTACTCTTGGTCCTCAATACACTGTCCAGCAGTACGATATAGACAGCCCTGCCATGGTCGCGAATGTGCAACATGCCCCCGCTGGAGCTATGCCACCACCCACAGAGCAACCGAGATCACGCACCTTACAGGAACCGCCAAACATGAGGGAGTCTGGTGCGATGTTTGGCTCTCGAAGGACCCCGTTCGACACGAATGGAATCGAAGCTGTGCGTCAACAGCGTGCCGATGTCGCGAGCCCTGTGAATAGGAGTCATGCCACTTCGGTTACGAACTCCGTTAGCTCGAAGGCTTCCTCGGGAATGCACAAGATCCCGTTCTCACCACCCAGTAGGTCCGGTCAGACCACCACATCATTCTCGTTAACTTCAGCATCTGGGAGAGAAACGCCCCAGCCGTCCGGGGCTTCCTATGCCTACGCCTCGTCTGTTTCGATGTCGTCAACAAAAAGCTCCCGCGCCGGTTCACGGCTGAGGAATGAGGTCCAGCTTAGTCCTGCCGAAAAGCCAGTAGATCTATTCCCTTTTACGCGTGCACGCCTCAATGATGTGCCTTACGGACACCATCAACCCCTTGACGAGTCCCGCCTTACGCCGGATGATCTACGCCAACAGATGCTGAGCGTTGTATTTGGCTTCGATGGAGATATTGAAGGTTTGATTAGGGATGAACGTAAGTTCCATTCTGCACTTACTAGATACGCTCTTCCAAATTTGTTGATTCTGTGATTAGTGAGCAACCATCCCGAAGCTAGTCAAAGTGCCATTCTACTTGCTCAATGGATTGGCGAATGCGATACAGACTATATGCTTTCCATGATAACATCGAGACCAGCTTCAATCACCGACTGGATGCTCCTGGCATTCAGTCAGATGTCTGGAGAATCACAGTCGAACAAGGTCGGCCAAGCTTTGGTCCAGAAGCTGCTGGAAATTGGAGATATCCATACGGCAGCCACCATACTTCTAGGATTGGGAGACCGAAACGATGCCATCGAAGTCTATGTCTCCCAGAATTATTATATGGAAGCCATTCTGATGACATGCCTTGTGATGCCTACAGACTGGCAGCGACAATCGTATTTGGTTCGCCGATGGGGGGAACATGTTGTGTCTCATTCTCAGCAGCAGCTTGCGATTCGGTGTTTCATGTGCACGGGTGCAGAGCCCTCCGAGCCATGGACGTCTCCCGCTGCGCAACAGGCTACATCTTTCGCGGAAGCTATCACAAGAAGGTCTCCAATGACATCCCCGGAACCTTATCCAAACCCAGCTACTCTTATGGTTCCTAATTCCCACCCACGACCAGCTGTCAATGGCAGACCGGTATCGAAGACGCCAGCGCTGAAGCTCATTACTTCATTTGACTCTCAACCAAACAATCGATTCAAGTTCCCCGGGCTGAAGTCAGATGACAGAACTCCAACAAATGCGCCCGGGGTTACACCGATCGCGGAATCTGCGGTTGTCGAATCTGCATTGTCTCCGGGCGGGTTTGGGTCATACAAGCTAAACAATATCCAGAGCATAAATAACGCCATGAATACACGTACAACCACGCCCGCCTTCAACAGACGGCGTCTTCCGTCTATCGGGGAGACTCCGATTGACGTACACCCTCCTACATTTCCCTCCACGGGATATAATAAACAAGTGCTAGACTATGGATCAACGTCAGAAAATGACGAGAGTCAGTCATCAGAGCAGAAAGGGGAGGAAGCAGATGACGAGCAGCTTGGTTTGCTCTCATCTGCCCGCTATGACCCTGAAGAGTACAAGCCCAGTCCTCAGACCGCAGTCCAAGCGACAGCGGATACCTTCGCCACCATCAAGGGTCTTCCTTCTCCAGCTGCTGGGGTTTTTGAGGCTCTAAAGGAGCGTTCGGACAGCCGGAACGGAACCAGAGACCGAAAGCCAGATGGCTTGCAGCTAAATCTTTATCACCGCAACGCGTCGGAGAATGATCTGCACGCCCAATCCGAGATGCCGGCTAACTTCCGCAGTCCAGCGTCAACGTTAAATAGTTTCAGTTCCGCTAGGAGCCCCAGCGTTAGCGGCCGCAGCATTGACCCGTATATCAGTAGCCTAGGCGAGGCAAACTACCACGCGAAGAAGTATCAAGGAAATCGTCCTAACGGAAGAGGAAGAAGGAATACGGATGACTCGGCCAGTCAGACCTCGGCTCGGAGGTACCGCTCCAGAAACGCATCACAGGAGACGCGGGGGCGAAACGAAAAGAGATACATTCCACCCGCCAAACGTTCTCCCTCCTCTCCTGTCCCAATGTCGCCAGAGGAGCTGGCTCGGATCAATGCCAATGCCGCCAACAAGCCATCATCTCGAACACGCAGCGCTAGCAGGGTGCGCAAACCACGTTCGCGCAACTCCTCTGAACGCCGTCAAAACCGTTCCGCCAGTCGAAACACAGCCAACCATCTTGGTACTGAAAACCAAGGTCCTTCCAGTCGAGGACGCAGCATGGACCGTCAAGAGTCAGACGCCAGATCTCCCTCGTCTCCATTGCCAGGATCCAGTGCCGAGGACGCATTGAGACTAGTTGCGAGTGATAGAGAACGGTTGCGGACCCGCCAACGGAGCGGCAGTCGTCGACCTGAAAAGGGTGCAGGTGGGAGGGGGGAGATACCATCTGATTCGAAGTGGACAAGAGCGAGGTCTCGTAGCCGTCACGATACCGAGCCGACAGAGAGCGCTCAGCAAGTTGTGCCCGAGTTCTTCAACGTCGGTGCCACCCATGATGGCATCTATGTCGTTGATAACACTCATAGTGACAGTAGTATGCTGGCACAGGCAGCTCACGAGGAGCAAACTACTACCCTTCAAGTTAATTTTGCGGAACAGCGGAGGAAGGAGCTTGCCGCTGCAGAGCTTGAAGCTCGGCGCCTGTCGCTCGCACGCAACCCATCGGCGCCTAACATCCCGTTTCCAGGGGAGCTGCAGCCGAGTCGCTCAGCTCTGGAAAATGCGACATTTTCCATCAATGCTTTTGCGCCGCGTACTCCCGGCCGGAACCGGACTGCTACAAACAAGAATTCTCCAGAGTATCCAAGCAGCTCCGATTCGAACTCTTCGAGGTCCGGTGTGCCCTTGGGACTGCCAGCAACCCCGAAAGCCATGAAGCACCCCAAATATAACGGGTACGAGGAAACAGCACCGACTCCTCCGGTGCCTTCTGACGCCGGCATCCTACTTAGTGATGCCAAATACCAGGGTGATGCTGAACGGATCGGTCGTTCGATGTCTGTTCCAATTCCCGAAAGCCATCAGCCTGGCGCGGTGCCAACGAATCTCCCAATGCATCCAAGATACAATCCTCATCTCCCAAGAAGTCGATCCACAAGCCGAACACGAAGCATGGCTCCTCGTCGAGACAGTGGCGGACATAGCTACGGCGGCTCCCCTGTGACGGTTAGCATAGAGGAGACGATTGAAAATGCAATGGCAAACCAGCAGACCGAGAACCCTCCCATTTTGCCGGAGCTCCAACATCTGAGTCCTCCTCCACCGCCACCTCCCCCAACTGCCCCTTTGGCCTCTCCACGCGAGTCTTCAGGGACCATAGACATCGCCATTGACAATGAAGACTTCGGTCGGCTGCTGCCTCGCGCGATGACCACGGGACCTACGCTTCACACGGATGGCCGTCCCGGTCTGGAACAACGCCGTATGTCTTTTGAGCACCGCCGGGGCCGCAGTGTCAACGAGAGCCTGAGCAGCAAGATCCGTAACCTGGCTCGGATGGGCAGCACCAAGAGCACAGACTCGTGGGTTGCTACTGATATTTCGATCCCGTACGAGAGCATTATCGTCGACGGGCGCATATAAGCATACCTTTGATGCATTGCATCTAACCTGTCAACACTTACAGTTGGACAATTATGATTGATGACATTCTGTTTCTTTTCATTCTTTCAATTACTTTTACATTTGCTTGTTTTCCCCCACCCTTTTCGTCTCCCTTTTAGCCAAGGCATATCTCAGATTTTGGTTGTTGTGATAGTTGGAACTGTATACCCTGGCACTACGCTTCCCTGATAATGATGGACAGGCAAGGAATTACTCAGTTACCAGAAGATGCACTATAATGGGGGGATTTTTTTTTCATATTTCCATTCTTCCTCGTCTCTAAACATGGCCCTCGGGGGCACGAGAAAAGTCGCTCCTTAACCTATTTGTCTAAGTCTTGCCATACTATGCAGACACTTAGTGATTAATCAAAGCCATCCCGGACTACACTGCTCGAATACGCTAGAGCATTTGGCCTTACAAGGCATTGCTTGCAGGAAACATGTAGCTGTATCCAACTGGCACCGGACAACTATCGGTCAAAGACAAGTAATAAACTGGCAGAGGGGAAAGTCGAAATTAGAGTTCACCTGTCCATGCCATGGACAATAAAGTCAGCGCTATGATGTACAAGCCACTATACAAACAATCAGTCCCATTTCCCCCACCACCCAGAAGTGTGCTGCTGTGGAGTGTTCAGACTGTCCGTCGACATCTTCCGCTCCGCCTCCAACATTCTGTCAAATTCTGCCTGAGCCAACTCACGCTCACTGGGCTTATCGTTAGCCGGAGCAGGAGCAGGAGCAGAGGCAGTGGAACTCGACGCAGGCTTATACACCGTCCGCACCTCCCGCTGAGCCGAGACATTATTCTGCTTCCGAATGCGCTCCCAAGCACTTTCTCCAGGCACCGACTGGTCCTTGTCCCTATACTCAGCAGCCACAGGACTAGCATCATCCCAGAAGTCATCAGCATTATCCCTCGACGGCTTCGGCGTCTCATAAGACGGCGTAGCCACCTTCTTCGTCTCAGTGCCCCACGACGTGGTACTCGACCCGAACCTCGCCGCCTCCTCATCCGACCCAGTCTGCACCCCAAGCCCATCACCCTGCTGCTGCTGCTGCTGCTGTGGCAACTGACTCTGCTCCTCACCCTTAGACCCCGGCATCGGCGTCGTCGGCGGCGGCATCCTCCCCGTCCTATCACCAGGCCCCTCATCTCCCCCCTCCTCCTCCTCGCCTCAGCCCAAAGCCCCTTCAACCTAGAATCCATCATCATATCATTAATATCCCTGGCCCCCGCAATCCCATCCCCAATCAACAGACACACAAACGCAACAAAAGCCGTCTGCATCCCCGCCCGTGCAGCATCCTTTCTCCACGTAGTCGGGTTCTCCCTCGCCCATTTCTGTATCCCCGCGATCAGCAAATCGTACCGTCGGATGCCCGCCTCCGGCGCAAAGTTCTTCTTCCAGATATCGGTCCTCTGCGATGCCTTGTAGCACGCGATCGCGCCAACGAGCACGCCTACCGGCTGTCCGATTCGGCTGTGGTAGAGTCGCGCCGTGCAGTGCTCGATTGTGGCGTCCGCTTCGGGCTGGGTGAGCGGCCGGTGCGCGATCCGTTGGTGTTGTTCCAGTGTGCGGATCACGTTTATGGTTACCAGGCTGTTCCATACGCTTTGGCCACCGAAGCCTAGGTAGAGGGTTATTGGATCCGGGCGTTTGAAGAGCTTCGGGTTCACTCTTAGTGGGTGGAAGCGCGAGAACGGGTCGTTGGGGTCTTTGAACACGGCGGGGGGATCCCCGGAAGATGGGGGGTCGGTGGTGTATGACATTGTAGTGGTTGGGAAGTTGTGGTGTGGTAGGTGGGAAGCTGGTGTTGTGGGGAGCTTGGATGATGATGATGATGATGGAATTGATGATGCGGAGGTGGTTGTGTTGTGCCGGTTAGTCATCTGCATAGGGGTTGTGCGGAGTTGTGCGTGGGTCTGCTGGACTGTTTACATCTGTTTGAAGTAGAACTGCTTTAAGCTCAAATACATCTATCTATATATAACTAACTATGCACTTGAGAGCTTTTATTATAGAGGAGCGATCAGTAAGTTCCGGAAGCTATTCCTGTCTTTCGAACACTGGGATTGATATTGTGGTCAATTTGAATACTGCCCTCTGTAACTTCATCCCTATACATTATCGACTTGAGATACTATTCCCAATCACTACACACTCCCTATTCACTTATTACCCTATTTACCATCTCTCCACATACGGCCTCAAATCAAGCTCAAAACCAAACGTCGTTCTAGGCTGCGTATGCAGATGCCAATACGAGTCGGCAATCTATCCACATCATCAGCATCTCACCCTCAATCAAACAACCAAACAACCAAACAGCTCAAGACGATGGAAGAGAAAAACTTACAGCTTCAGGATCCAACTTGGCATCCTCCTTCTCAAAAACCCACCCCTTCGTCCTCGGGATATCAATAACTCCATCAATGATAACATGCGAGACATGAATGCCCTTCGGACCAAACTCCCTCGCGAGCGACTGCGCCAACGCTCTCAGCGCGAACTTGCCCGCCGCAAAAGAGGCGAATTGCGCCGATCCCTTCAGGCTGGCTGTCGCGCCGGTGAAAATGAGAGTAGGAGGGTATTTCAGCCCTCCTTGCGACTCAGCAGGGAAGAGTGGGAGGACATTCTGTGCAAAGTTGAATGCTCCTTTTCTGTATTCTCACATTAGTATTTCCTCGGGAATGTAGGGGAGGAGAGGGGGGGGGGGGGTGGGGGGGAAATGTATACCCCTGACTCTCAAAGCCGGAAGCAAAGTCCTTCTCGGTCAACTCGAGAAAAGGCTTCCTCACGAAACCACCGCCCGAATTGAATACGGCGGCTGCTAGCGATGAACCCTGGAACTGCGATTTGATCTGCTCAAAGGCGGAACGGACACCTGTGGTGTCGGAGAGATCGGCGCTGATGCCGGTGGCTTGGCCGCCAGCGGAGTTGATTTCGTCCACGACCGGCTGGTAGTTTGCTGGGTTGCGGGCTAGGACTACGATGGGGTAGGACTTGGCGAAGCGGCGGGCGATGGAGGCACCCTGTGCGATTATTAGTTATTTGTTTGGGTTTCTATTTCAAGGGATGGATGTATAGTATGTTAGTTGGTGGGAGAGATACGTACAGTGCCTGGGCCGACACCGGCGATGATGGCGAAGGGTTTGGTGGCCATATTGATGATATAGAGTTTCCTTTAAAGGAAGAAAGAAGATTTAGTTTCGGGATGTTTATGGAGAAAGAGGGGTCGATATGGAACTATATAGTAAATGAGGAGTTTCTCATGGCGTCATTCCAGTCGGGGTTCCTGTCATGCCGAGATTAGAAATCCGCGATGCGATCAGTAATCAAGGGATGGGGTGTGGCCGTAGAGTGTGTATATGGTCTAGAATTTGAATTTAGCAAGTCGATACTCTAGAAGGAAGTCAAAGAAGGAGTTTAGTGTCAAATTGACTATGATAGAGTGTTATTATAGTTATGTTCACGGTAATGTGGGAAATAATCTGTGTCTGACAGGCAGGAAGCAGCAAATAGGGTAGAACTCTATCTAGTATACTCCGGGATAGCCGCTACTATCTTTCTTCCCCAAACGAGCCATGGCAAGCAATTCACGACTCTCCATCCCAACATGTTTATCATCACTATCCATGTTCAACTTATGTTCAAAATTCACGAGATTACGATGTAGTTAATTATGGTGAATGATGAAAGGAACGCTAACCCCCATTCGTTAACGGAATACATCACGTGCATGTATGGACAGTGACTGTGATGTATACAGCAAATTCTATTTATTTGAGAAATTTCATACTCAGTCATGATGTGTCTCTGTTCAGTCAGTGGATGGTAGCGTCAAAATCATTCCAAGTTATCACGCCACGTCAGTGGTTGTGACTTTGTGACCTCGACTGTGCCGGATCGTGCAGTATCAACAGTACCTATACTGACGATCATTCATTATGGATTCACACAAAGCAGCAGAAACAACGCGTCTTGACAAGAAAGCTCAAGCTCAAGCTCCGGCTGTCAAAGACGTTATTCGCGTTGCCTCATATCACCGACTCGACTACGACATAGCAGTCATCAGAACATCCTCTATACACCACAACCTGATACGCCATTTGCTGACTCCCAAAACACATACCATAGACCTGAATTCAAGTCTTGGAGTCCTGGATATCTTCCCTCTAGAGTTCATCCATGAGATATGCCTCAAGCTCGACATCCAATCCTTGTTCCGCTTCCATCGTGTCAACCGTCGAGCTCGACAAATCGCCAGCGCCAGTGGATACTACAAAGCGGTAGTCAAATACGCCGTCGAGGCCCTGTTTGTCATCTTCAGAACCGGCATGGCATCTTGGTATACACTTTCGGACTTATATGATGTCCTTTGCACAAAGAATTGTAAAGAATGCGGTGCCTTTGGTGGCTTTATCTTCCTTCCATCGTTCATGAGATGTTGTTTCTTCTGCATTCAGAACGACCACCTTCCTTACCTTTTGCCCACTCGTCACGTCAGACCATTCCTGGGCTGGCGTCCGGTTCCTATTTCAAGCCGGATCCCTATGATAACGACGCTGCCTGGGGTGTACTCGTTGGATGAAACAAAGCGAACGGGACGATTCGAATTTGTTTTGGAAAAGTCCGCTAAATCGCTCTTCCCGCCTGACCGGGTTCCAATTATCCCCAGGCTTCATTCGAGGGTTTACACAGAGCTACAGCGTTATATGGCCAGTACGGCTCTGCCTTATTTCGACGAGGAAAAAGGTGTCATGGAGAAGGGCGTTTCCTGCAGTGGCTGCCAGATTTCTCTAGAGAAGGCCTTGCAGTCGTCTGGGGCAGACTATGATGACTGGGATGACCGAGATAGAATTTATTCGCATGATCAGTTCATGGTGCATTTTGGAAAATGTTCAGAGGCTCGCAAGCTATGGGAATTGAGCAAGGGAGGCACCATCAAGCCTGACGTCCCGGCGTTTGTTAAGAATGGAGGCTGCGCTAGGAAGAGGTATATTCCTGATCCATTCGGCAGAAGATAGCTTGTCAGAAGGCTTGGTACAGGAGGCTTGGTGGTCAACAAACTGGATTTTTGTGTAGCCTGAGATAATATTCAGGAGAGTAATGGAACTCAGGATAGTAATGGAACTGAAATTGTTTCCTTCGCCCATGCAACATGCATGATAGGCACATATGCGGATGATCTTAGCGGTCTGCCATTTCTTTTACCACTTCTGAATGGGAGACTCCGTCCCCAACCCATCTCACTTGCAAAGTATAGCCCAATGCTCAGTTAATACCTGGGATACTAATCAGATATTCCCATCAAAGAATTCTCTCGTGAAAGTCGCCTCCTCTCATGAAAACCAAAACCTACTTCCAAACCCCCACCACCACCACCACCCACAATGACCCCAACCAATCCCTCCCCCACGATCCTCTCCATGGACGTATCAAGCAAAGATGACAGCGACTACCGAATCCTCCTACAAAACAAAATCCGCTACCTAACAATCCGTCCCGGGACATTCGACCGCTCAACCCTATCCACACCTCTCAGCTCACTACCCAACCTCCCAGGCGATCATACCTGGAACTGCGCACTCATCAACCGAGACCCATCCAACCATCAAATCACCATCGAACTACAGAACCGAAATCTTACCGGCATAACAGACATATGGCATTCGTTGCAGATTGACTGTCTTCAGCTAAGAAGGATAAGACAGCTTACAGCTACTACATTCGAAGCGACTCACTGCCGTACTACTAGTGAGTCGCTAAGCACTACTATATTGGAAGAGAACACAACAATCATTGCCAAAATTGCCCGATTCGAGTGGGAAATACCCCTTCTGTCGCGGGAAACTTCCATATATAAACAGTTACAGGGCATCTCTGATCTTGCTCCGCGCTTTCTGGGCCATGTGCATGAGCATGGACGTGTCATTAGGATCATACTGGAAAGGGTTGAGGGGCGGGAAGCGGGGATTGAGGATCTTGTCGGGTGTCAAGCTGTGTTGAAGCGTCTGCATGACCTTGGATTCGTGCATGGTGATGTTAATAGATATAATTTTGTTGTTCGAGGTGATGGTACGGTTAGCTTGATTGACTTTGAGAGTAGTTGGCAAGATAAGGCTGCGACTGCGCTTATGCGTGCTGAGATGGAGAGTCTAGGTGAGCAGTTGGTGGAGAGGACTGGACGGGGTGCTGGTTTTGCTCCGGGGGGAAACAGGATTGAGTAGCAGATATATTCATCTTCAGTTTTATTCATTCAACTTATACATTGCTATGACGTTATCTAGTTACCTTTGTCTTGTCAAGACCGAGTTAATCTTCAAACTTACCTATACAACTCAACCGCCTTTCTGCCCCAGGCACCAACACCCCCAAGCTCCCTCCCTTATCGATAAGCCACCATCCAACAACTCCAGCTTATCTCCGATACGAAAACCCATCATGCTATCATTTTTTCTCCGCATGCGACAGACACATCCTCCTCCTCCTCCTCCATCACCACACTTCAACCTCACATTCCACTCTTTTTTCTTTTCAATTCACTAATATCACACTAAAAGACAAAAGCAATAAAAGAAATGTCCACCTCCACCCCCGACTCCCCCCTCTCCGACCTCTGCTCAATCTGGTCCGTCCCCCCCATCCATCCCCATCCCCATCCCCATCCCCATCCCCATCCCATCCACCCAGCTCTCACTAACCACTCCCCTCCCTTTGGGAAAACTACAGCCACCTCCAATCCCCCAAATACCGCTGTCCGCGATGCTCAACGCGCACCTGCTCGCTACCCTGCACACGGCGTCACAAACTCTGGTCCCAATGTTCAGGGATCCGCGACCCAGCAGCCTACCTGCGCCGCTCCGAACTAGCAACGGAATCCGCCTTCGATCGGGACTTTAACTTCATTACGGGGATTGAGCGCTCGATTGAGCGCGCGGGACGAGATGCGGAGAATAGAGGGATTGATGTTGCTTCTTCGAATGTGAGGGATTTGGAGGCGGTTGGGTTGGATGCGGGAGATGTTGGTGGGGATGGGAAGAAGGGTGGTGTTGGTGCTGGGGGAAAGAGGAAGAGGGGAGGGGATACTGCTGGTAATGGCGGTGGTGGGACGAGGGCTGAGATGGAGTTTTTGAGACGTGCGGAGGAGAGAGGGGTTAGGGTTGTTAGGGCGCCGAAGGGGATGAGTAGGAATAAGGGGAATGGGAGTCGGTGGTTGGGGAGGTATGTTCTTTCTTTCCTTTGCTTTTCTTTTGTTGGCTAGGGGAATGGGGGATCGTGCTAACTACATGATATGTAGGAATCAGTGTTTGGTTTGGACGGTCGAGTGGGTTCTGAGTGATGGGGAGAAGAGGATGAGGAATTGCTCGGAGATGGCTCCTGTTGCGGATTCTTTTGATCGGGTGGTTCCTCTTTCTACGGAGGAGGGAGGTGATGAGCAGGATCAGAAACAGACTGGGGATGAGAAGCCAGGGGAGACGCCAGAGTCGAAGACGGAGCAACAACCGCAGGATGCCACAACTACAGCCACGGAGCCAGCCTTGACTACACAATCTACACAGCCGACAGACACGCCAACTGCTCAACCCGAAGCTTCAGAGGCGACACTTACATCAGACGTGCTGCCACTCACCCCCCACCGTGATCTCTACTTCTACCTCCATCGGCCGCGGACAGCTACGAAACAGCCTGTTTTGGCCCCCCTGTCCCCCAAGATCACCATTGCTGCCGCTCTGCGTGGTCACACAGTCTTGGAGTTCCCGACTATCTACGTGCTGCCGGACTCACCTGATACTATACGGGCCCAGGAAGGTTCCAAGTACATTCTAGAGGAAGAGTACCTCCGCACACATCAGTCGCCGGAGGAGAGCAGCGAGGATACGGGGGATGCAGACGACACATTGCCTCCGGGTGCCATTGACCTTCAAGGCGTCGACGAATCCAAGGTTCTGGAAGTCCTCCAGAAGGATCTGTTCGAGCCTTCGGCAGCAGCGTAGGAGCTATCTAGATCTGGCTGGAGCATCATGACAAGGGAGGGAGGGGACATCTACTTATACCTAATATTTGTTCATATCATAGCGACAACTGGAGAGCCGGGTAGAACCGTGCTTTACTTGCATCTGCACTAGGAAGAAATCATCTATGATCGGCGGATGCACTTCGAGGCAGTCTGAGCGAAGACAGCGATCTCGACCGTATAGGTAATTACTCGAACTCCCGACCCGTTGTCTCGGATCGAGCTATGCTTGGTCAACAATCACTGGTTAATTGTGCAATCAAATCGAAAGTATGTACGCTAAATCCAATATCCAAACATGGGGTATCATATGAACCAAAATAGATCAAACAGGACGCCTTTGATGCTTGTCGGGTATCAACGTCCGTAGCGGTTTATATAGCCAAGACATGATAGATCGTCGGTATATGTCAAACGCTCACCTTTGGCGAGCAAGTGTCGTCTCTGCCTTTCAGGTATTCATCGGAGGTTCCAGCAGGCTCCGCAGCCTCGATCAATCGATGGCGCGACATAAGCCTAATTCGGAACGACGATCCATGAATACCCGAGCGTCTGCTATGCAGCGGCTAGGCGGTTAGACGACGTAACCGACGTATCGACGTACTGTGTAGAGATATCACAACTGCAGTGTGTATCGCATGGCTCAAGTCAGTGGACTCGAAGCATCAGACGCAGTGTCTGGAAGCTCGTGATCTCCGATTTTCTCGGCATGATCAGAAGAGATAGATAAAACTTCGGTAGGAATGGTATTCGGCAAAGTCGGCTCATCCTCTGGCGCAACCTTGCTGTTGCGAGAGCCAGCTTTAGACTCAGCGGCTCTAGACTCAGTGGGCGACATGTTCGTCCGTTCCGATCGGTTGGATCGAAGTCGGATCCGGCCTTTCTCCAAGGCTCGAAGCAATGTACCAACCTCATCCGAAACGATCCCACGAAGCTTGCTCATTGTGTCGTCAGAGATGTCAGAGTGGGCATTCCAACCAAGCTTGTCAGACTCTTCAGAGGTCAAAGACTTGGACTCTAAAGAGGGCCCAGTGATGAGCCTCTTCAAAGTCGTAGGTGACAGAGTTGGACGGCGTGCCATTTTGACCGGCTTCTCCTTGCTTGAAGTAGCCGAGATCACCTCCTCCTGCTGACGTTTAGGCGGGCGGGTTATAGCAGTGTTCGGGCCTTCGCCCACTTCGTTGCGGATCTTATAATATACCAACCCCAAGGTCGCAGCCAGGGCCTGGTGTGCAGCCTCGGGGTACAGGCGTACGGCTTCTGCGCGACTCAAATTGGACGGATAATCGCTGGAATCACTGGAGTCGCTATCACTCGCAAACAGGCTTTGCTCCTGGTGCATGCGGCCCCAATACTCATATCCTCCAAGCTGATAGAAGTCGGCCAGTTGTGCCAATCGGTTGACTGACTTAATGTTAGATGCTTGCCGTTGTGACGCACATGATTCCTGCACTTACTCCTGCTTCGCTTCTTCAGACACCAAAATCTCCACACAGTGCGAGGGAAATATTCGGGCCACTGCAACGATCCGTCCTCTTCAACGACAGGTACAGGCGTGATCGGTGCATGTGTCGTGTGGGCCAGAGAGTTGAAACGAACTCGTTCAGAATGCTTCATCCGAGCTTCGATAAGAGAGAACCGATTGAACACAGAAGTCAGATGCCGCGATGTCTCGTGTTGCAGAGTAATCAGATCCGTTCGAAGTTGGCTGATGGTCGCGTGCAGTTTGCTGATCTCCACGCGACATCCACATACGTCAGTCTGCAGGTGCTCAACATCTGACTGAATCTGTTCCACGTTTTTCGACAAACGGTCGACATCACTGCGAAGAAAGACGGTCTCATTGCCGCTCTGGCCGATACTGGACTTGAGTTGGGAAATCCCTGACTTCAACTGGTCGACGTCTGTCTTCAACGCAACAACATTCAGGTCGATTCGACTAGAGATTGATCGATGGGCTTCGAATTCGCGGCGAATGTGTTCGTCTTCGCGGTTTCGTCGGTCAACGTAGCCATCTTTGGTTAGAACGCTGGAGCGTAGCTCAAGTAGGCGGGAGTCCAAAAAGGTCAGGCGGTCGTGAATGTGTGATAGGGACGGATCTGCTAGGGCTGGAGGCGTGTTTTCATGGATGAGAGATAGTCGAGGGCTAGAGACGGGGATGGACATGCTCGACGTGCGAGAGAGGCTGCGTTCGAGGGTTGTGGTCATGATGGGCGAAAGGGGGACACGGAAAAACGGTTAAATTGCGCGGGTTGGTGTACATAAAAGCACATGGAACGCTTTAGACAGGTATCAGCAGCATTTTGCCTGAGTTTTGAGATGACAGCGAGATGGTTGTGGTGGAGTTCGATGACGGTTGTTGATGGTTGAAAAGCGATGGCTGGGGCGTTGCAAGAGGGAAAAGAGACGAGCGACCGTCGAGAAGGGGATCCAGGCAGATCCCGCCCCTCGCTGGCTGCCTTCCTTCGTGGCACCCGCTTCACCCAACCGAATTCATTCCAACGCCTGACCTCAATGCATACAGTCGCATCCAAGGGAATTGCCATAATAGCAGCGCTGCTTTTTTTAGACTTGTCATTCTATACAGGCCTAATCATGGTAACTTTTTCTATTTCGTTGTTTCTCCTGGCTAGCATACTCAATCGCAGAGGATGTTATCGCGAGCCAGCTATGACAATACACGGTACACTCCGTGACATAACGGATCACAACATATCGGCGGCTTGGCAGACACACTGCATTCAGCTGACCCAAAGCAGCCAATCACCGTTGTCCCTGCTCATCTCGCCACCCGAAATGGAGAGTAGCATCACCTGTTGATTGGACAACGCAAATAACTAGTAGCATTCCTTCGGCGTCATGGTCCTCACCTTCGTATCGATAACCGTACTGGTCAGATTGTATACAGGATGAAAACGGTGTCCATCAGGCCTCATTCTCCAGACAGACGGGCGGGGTTCGCTTACCATAGATTGGACGCCTCGCTGATTTGAGATTGGCATACTACAGAACGTTTAACCAGCGATCTCAGAGATCCTAAAATAAGGCCGGGAAATATGCCACTTAACGGCATCCTGCTCAAGCACTCAGGCATACGACGCATAGGTACTGCCTAGGGCCATTGTTTTGGAAGCGCTCATAAGGGAGTGTGCCGATGGTATGTATGGATTGCTTCGTCGCAGGAAGGACGTACACGTCTTTAACCAAAGAACGTCTGTAGCTTGTCCTCTCTCATCACATCCAACCAGCTAACCATGGAGCAAGCCCCTGCGCTTCTTGAGCTCATACTATCCGCTCGCATCCATACTCCTTCCACTATTCTTCTCGCATGGTCCACCGAGTCCAGACCAACATAGTCTCGTAGACTAGTAATTTTGTCCATGACAACACGTCTCCAATAATTTGTGATGAGGCTGTTGCTAGATAGCGACATGACCCCTTGAATCGGGTCGCGAATACATAATGGCAACGACGATGTACTGGATGAGGGTTGCGTCTGCCCTTGCAGCGCGCTGCCTGCAATGATCAATGGGAAAACCTGGATAGCCTTTGTTCTGGATGATGGAGGGATCGAAACCAGCAGGGTCAGGATGCTTGTGGCGAGAGTGTCAAAGAAGTGTTTTGTCTCTAATGGATTGGGGCTGTAATTGATCTGGTCATCGCTCGACCGAAGTAACTCTGGGAAAAGCCGGTAAAGCTCGAGCAGTATCGATAGCTGGTACACAAGTCCCATAGTATGAAGATGGCTCGATGGGGTGAGGTCATCTCCTGTAGCGCTAATCTCATCAACCGGCAATACAGCATAAGCGCGCACGCACTTCTCAATTTCCTTTGCCTTGTCGAGAAGTGAAAGATACATCTCTCCCTTGTATTTATTCGGGCCTGTCAGGGAGCACAGCCGATCAACAAGGCGAAGCTGTCTTGACAATGTACCGACCTGAGCCATAGAGATAAACAGTGATGTGCTGACCCCGGTAAATGGATTCGGACAGCAAGCCTCCAAGTTTGTTCCTGTGTTGCACATATCCCAAAGATAGTCTACTGCCTCCAGACTTTGGTCAACGTGAAAGGAGGCAAGAGCCTCCCAATACGCCATCACACCAAGTAAGAAGCTATATTTCGGATCATAAGGAGACGGTCCCACACTTTGTCGGTGGGCGTTAAACATCCACTTTTGGAATAGAGTACGGGCGCCTTTAAGATGCACTAAATCTAGCATGGATACATCGTGCCATGTCTGGTCTCCGGTAAGGAATTAGTAAGGACACGAAAGACTAGTTGCCAAACGGAATCAAAGTACAGCTTACTGAGGTCATCCCGAGTAAGATAGAACTCAGCAATAAAGCAGTCGTATCTAGGTTGGCCGGTGCAGAAGCCTCAGCACTAGTAACATAGGTGATGGTGGATGCCAGCTGTGATATAGCCTGGGTTCGATATTCAAGTGAGTACCTCATCCGGTCCTTCTCTCGCCGATGTAGATGAGCGGATGACATTGAGAGAACAGAATGCAAAAGTGCTGGACATGATCGTATAAGCTCTTTGAGCAGCGACCAGAGCGGATTCTGCGACGAGTCAAAGGCAGAAAGGATGCCGCACACTTGCGAGAAGTAGTATCTCAGTAGTCTATCAGTAACTGGTTCCGGACAGCTGTATGGGAGCTTATCCTGATAGAGATGGTCTTCATGATACGGCTCTGTCGAATAGCTGCACAACGTATCCCAAGCATGTGTAGTAATCCAGCAGTCTGCGGTACTCATGGCCGTGTCTGTGCTCTCCAATGGCGCGTCCGTGGTCTTGACGCTCGCTATATGGCTGGGAGCGATGGCAGCTTTCAGTTGAAGAGCACCCTCTACAAACCAGGCCGAATCATTACTGTGCAACGATTGTTCTTGGCTTGTTGCGGATCCTCTGAGCAACTCATATTTATCGGACCATTTTACATCTTTCCTGTAACCAGGGCACTGCAGTCCTTTCTTCTCACATGGTGAGCAACCATGGGCTTTCTCGTCACACTTGATGCGCTGTTTTACCAATGTTAGGTTATATTCAGGGCAAGATCACGGTGCCCATGATGGGTCAGTCATATGTCACTCACCCGTTTCTTGCATGTCTGACAGCCGGCTATGGGTCAGGACGTTGTGGTTAGTGTAATGCTAAATCCATCCTAGGCTGGGTCTCTTACCGCGCGATTTGATCCTCTTTCGTGGGGTTTGAAGTCTTGTATTCAGGCATGTCTCATTGTTACATGGAGGAGGCCATTCCGGGGCCTCGAGCGGGCCTGATTCTTAAGGAGAGTGATGGTCCACTCTATGCCTGCGCGTCACAAGGTAAGTAGAAGGTTTACTCGGAACTCGCATCCTGAACTGCAAATGAATAACAAAGCCAGACATGAGAGCAACAGCCGCGGTCGACGGCGGAATAAGGCCGAAAGCCAATGCAGCCTGAGACACTGCCAGTGGGGCACATGAAACTGCTATGGATGATGTGCAAACAGCTCTCATAGACTTGACTTCTGCAGCAAGAACCCAAGAAGGCGAGATAAGCCAACCTGGACCAAGGACAAAGGTACTTTCATCAGCCGAAGTCCTTGTCAAACAGGTGCATCATCCCTGATCTCAGTACTAAGGCTATAGTTGGAACATCTCCAGTATACATTGATTTTTCGAGCGCGCTAAACCTGTTTAGTACTCGCTTATGATTATAATATTGCAGAACCTCTCATACAAAATACTACAAATTATATTATAATTGTACAAAGACCGAACTGGTTAGCGGTCGCTATAAACGAGATTGCAATGAAAAGTCTTTCCGTTCCCATCTTCCACAATCATCCATCCTCAATCCAGGACTGGACCCTTAATCATAAAACATAATCTATACCGTATCGCATACTATTCAATCTCTCTTGGCAACCTTAATCAATGAAGTCACAATGCCACCGTCGGACATAAAACAGAGGGTCCTTGAGATAGCCTTTCTGATGCTCCTGTGGCTTTACTTTGACGAAAAATTAGAAGAATCAAGAGAAGAAGCGGACGATTCAGACGCAGAAGAAGATGAAACAATCGGTCTGGCCAATGCAAGCAACGAGATGTTAATCGAGGCCTCTGACGCTATGAATCGATTGATGGCTCGTTCTTAACATCTCCAATAATCAGCGCTTGAGTTAGGGACTGGCATGCTGAAAACACTGTCACCTACACCAGGTAAGCGGTTGTGTCTAGGGTATCAATTCTTCAACGCGTGTTCCCCGCGACGCGAGTGTGATTAGCCGCCCATCGACACGGACAATAGGATCTCCGTTACGAAGTTGTCAATGAGATCGGACCGTTACGATGCAAACCATTCGAGTACTTAGGGTGGGGGCTTCATGAAGCTGGGATCTTGTGTGTTGACCTGAGATATGTCATCGATTGGGGTATTATATACTGAGTGGGCAATGCTTGCTCGTTCAAGGGCGATGATTCAGGATGGTTCCTGACTGCACACATAGTATATGGGTAGCATAGTTCTATTTAATGAGCAAGGAATGGATTCATGCTAATCGGACCAAATTTCCGCTGGTCGCTTGGTTATAGCTGCGTAACTACCCACGCCACAAGCACCCTCTACCAAATGAATAAGCCCTCAGTAAGCCAACAGAATATCACTCGCGCCGAATTCTCGTCAAGCTCGCTAGTCATGATCCCTATGTTTCTCTCGACCTTCCCGGGACTAGGGTTTTGCGTGCAAACGATGGTGTGGTAGAAAGTGATTCCGGGGGGCGCATATCTCCATACAAAGTGGGCCACTTTGTATACTTCTCGTCCTCAACAACATATTTCCCTCCGCAAATAATCCCGTCAAAGATCAACTCACGCCCAACGTTGCGGTAATCTGCCAAACTACATTCATTTTATCATGCAGGCCCAACAACTATCATGTTGATGGAAGTGACCGCCATGACGCACCTTCCATGTCAACATATCATATCATCAACTCACCAACATCATCGTCATCATCATTCTCTCAGCCGTCCTCATCATCATACAACAACCACTACTATCCTTAAGACACCCCTCCTACATCTATCCTCAACCCTACTCCTACTATTAGTACCACAACCACTCCTCAAAATGAAACTCCTCCTCACCACCCTCATCCTCTCCACCCACCTCCTCCTCCTTGCAACCGCAATATCCATACCCACCACCAACTTCCAAGACGACCACCCCCACGCCAACTGCGACTGCTACCTCACCTCCAGCATCACCTCCAACAGCCCCTCAAACCAGACAACCCCAACCTACTTCACTCACTACAGATTCTGGGACTTCCGCAACGCCCCTCTCCCGCAAATCAAGCCCGAAACAACGCAAACCAACCCCTCCAACCCGCACGACACCTCGACACTAGAAATCTACCCCCTAACAAACACCCTCTTCTCACACGACTGGCGCGTCCAAACCTGGGACCGCGAAGCAACCGACATCAGCCCCGTACCAATGAAAAACACCGACGGGAACGTCTTCCTCCTCAAACACCCAACCAGCACCCCCAAGGACCCACGCTCATCATTCCTCGTCCTCCGCACAACCCGCTTCCAAGACCACGCCTCAACAGCCGAAATGGAAGGTCTCTTCGGGTACATATACCACTGTTCACTACGCCTACGGATGAGAATGATGTCGCGAGACGACATCCTAATGGCAGCAGCGGCATCCACACTCCCCAATACCCAACCAGTATCACAGACTAAAATCCCCCGCGGCAGCTGCGCCGGCATCTTCACCTACCGATCCTCGATCTGCGAATCCGACATCGAGATCCTCACTACCGAGGACACCCACACGATACATTACGCTAATCAACCGGACTACGATCCCATCTCGGATACCATAATTCCGGGAGCAAGTTCGATCGTGAATCTGAGTAAGCCGTGGACGTCGTGGACAACGCATCGGCTGGACTGGGTGGCTGATATGTCGGCCTGGTATGCGGATGGGCAGGTACAGAGTAAGAGTAACTATTCGGTGCCGGATCGGCCGAGTATCGTGGCGATGAATTTGTGGAGTAATGGGGGTAATTGGTCGGGCGATATGAAGGTCGGGGAGAGTGTTTTTATGGGTATTGAGTGGATTGAGTTGGTTTATAATGTTACTAAGGCTGATCAGGATCTTCCGATTAAAGATCATCCTGGACATAGGGATCGGTATCATCGGGTTGGGGGGAGTGCTTCTGCTTCTGGTTCTTTTGCTTCTTCGGTGGGTGGAGATGAAGATGATGTCGAACGGAAGATGGGAAAGGCGAAGGAGAAGGGTGATAGGTGTCAGAGACCGTGCTGGATTGACCCGTGGCATCCTGTGTGAGGGCTGTAGTGTTCTGTTGTGTTTCGTTCCTATTCTTTGATCCAGTTTAATAGAATTCATCCTAATTCTACACCGCGGAATCATGCAAGGCTTCGCATCTGCGTCTTCTACAGTTCTGTCGTGGCTGTATATGCAGTAGTAAAAGTGTTTCTTGGGTATTTGCCTTCGTAAGTACAAATCGTCGAACCGAAGGGGCTTTACAGTAACCTGAAGGCACGACTAAATACATAACCATCCGCGGTTCCTCGAAGTCTTCCAAATCTCATGCGCCATGCTTGATGCCCAATGCTAATGCCGAATGTCCAATCCCCAAGACAAATCCCAAAACAACTCCAAAAACAAATCCGAAAACATACATGTCAGGAGCTGTAGCTCGACTGACGGGGTATCCATACAAGACAATGCGAAACGCTTAGAAACCACCCCCAAAAATACAAACGATGTCCTTTCCTCCTCTTCTGCTTCCTCCTCCTCGTCGTCGTCGTCGTTGTTTATGCCGTTGTCGTTGTCGTCCTCTCCCCCATCCTCCTTTTCCTTCTGAACCTGTTTGTGGTTAGGACGCTCAAACCAAGAAGCAAATAAAACCAAACACCAATATCCAGAAAACAAAAGAAGTGCAACGTAAAGGTGAGCACCCAAACATGTAGATACAGGTTCAAGGAAAGAAGAAAAGAGATTGACGCTTCATACCTTCGCGATGAGAGTCCCTCCGCTTCTTTTTTTTTTTTTTTTCTTTTGTTTGTTGGCCCTCCCCGTCCCCGATCATAGCAAGACATGGTCTTGCTGGGCGGGGTCAAATTCCCCCTCGAGGCCGCCGGCCATCAGCTCGGCCACTATCTTACGGCGCAGGAGGGGAGTGTCTTGCGCGCCGTAAGACAGTGGCTCGAGGCCGATGGCCACAGCCTTGGCGGTGGTGAGGAGGAAGACCCCGCAATCGGAACCATTGTCTTGCTGGGGGGACAGGGACGGCAGCACGCGCCACTCCTCCTCGACGTACTTGGGGCCCAGCTCGCCGCGGAGCCAAGTTTGGACTACCGCGATGTGGCGGCGAGACCGGGCCCCAAGAGAATCGAAATGCTCGATTGAGCGTTCTCCCGGTCGCACAACAACCAGCGTCCAGTGCTGGCTGTTGTGGACCGGGATGTAGACGGTGTCTACGTCGAGGAGGAGTGGCCCTCCGATCTTGGCCCGCTTGGCCCAGCGGGCCACGGAGTCGTAGCCTTTGTCTCTCAAGTTCGAAAAAAAGAACGAATTGAAGGCGTGGAATCGGGGCTTGTCGTTGCGGCCGGCGTTGTGATTCTTGCGGCGAAGGTAATCAACGATAAGGGCAAGGTATCCGTTGATGATCTCATCGTTAAGCCATTCGCCGCGCGTGTAACAGGTAGCGAGGGACCTCTTCGTTAAAGGGTCACCGGAGAGGGTGGTTGCGACGGTTTTTCCTCCGGATACGCGTCCATCTTGAAGTTCTTTGATGCAGGCTTCCCATTCGGGAGACAGGGGCCGTACAGCTGGGCCATCCGGTTTGATCCGTGATGGGAGCTCTTTCTTTCTCTCTTCTTCTTGGATCTGCCTCCAGCGGTTGGCGTACACTGACTCAGTTCGGCCCTCTGGAATGGGTCTTGGCTCGGGGTAAAATAGACTGACGGCCGATACTGCTCGACCCAGCGGGTATTCAAAGGTTGGTTGGGACCAGGGGTCAACGACGGGCTCATCCTCTTCCTCGTTCTCGGGGACTGGCGGCACATTTTCCTTTTCTGTGACCTGTTCGGCTTTCATACCAACATTGGTTTCAGGAGCTGTCTTCTCATTCACATCAAATGTATCTCCGAGATGGGGTGCCAGGTTGTCCTCCACCTCACCCCATTCTCGCGTGTCGTCAATGAACTCGGCTACCACGGGCTCGCGGAAGCGAACCTTGCGCGGAGTGGCGCGGCGAGGTCTGGTTCTATTCCCAGAACTGCCGGGAGTTCCTCTGACCTTGAGGATTGTCTTAGGTGCAACAGTGGTCGATGCTGAGAGAATCTTTTCAGTTGCACCCAATTTGACGGTGTCATCAGAAATGATGCCAATAGTGGCTGAGCGAGACTGGATTTTCGCCAGCATGTCCAAGTCTTGTACACTGTCTAGTTCATCGTTGCTTCTCATCAAGATGGGTTCAACAGCACGGCTACCTGCGGCGGAGGCCTGACGGTCACGCGCGGCCTGAGCTTCCATAGCTTTCTTCATGCCGGCGATGTCCCCAACGAAGAGGGCTCTAAAAGGCGCAGATCGCTCACGGTTCTCGGCGCGCTCGGCACGCGTTATCCACCGATGCTTGCGAATACCCGGGCTTCCTTGCTGACGGAGACATTTTTGGGTTGTTTCTTGCGCTGAACGTTGAGCCGAACGGTGAGCCGAGCGTGTAGGGGATTTCCGAGCGGGGCGAGTTCTCATATTCTTTGAACCACGAGCACGTCTTTCAACGGAAACAGAGCCTCTGAGTGTCTGGGTCACTTGCTCTTCAGGCACTTGCTCTTCAAGAACTTGCTCTTCAGGCACCTGCTCCTGAGGCCTCTGTTCCTGAGACACAAGGTCCTGCAAAATTCGGGAAGACTCGACTGTAGGAGCCGTTCTGTTGTTAGAAGAGAAATCGGGAACATTGGAGAAGTCGGGGAAAGATCTGTCGGTACGAGGGCTAGATTCTCCACTTCGGATTCTTCTATCACGATACATGCGCCCCTGCTGTTCCGGAGACAGGTTACGAAGGTTGAGGCGCATGGGCGATCCAGGAGGCGAAGGAAGAAGACGTCCACTGCGGCGATTCCAAAGTGCGCACACGCGACGCTTAGCAGCACCAACCGCATTAGCAGCGGACTTTGCCGCATAGGAGAAATTTTGGGTGATTCCAACAGGAATAGAGACAACAGTCTGCATGTAGTCTTGCCATGTCCCCCAGTAAGCATACCAAGGTGAAGAAGGCTGTGGTTCGGCAACCTGAATCACAGGAACAGTCGGCTCCTCAACCTCGGCCATATCCGTATCGTTGGATAGAATTACTTCGTCGGAAGTCATTGGGCTACCTTCATCATCGGTGGCAGCATTGGTGGACCACTGAGACAGCAATGACTCGGGCCACGCTCCAGGCATCATACGGCTATCTGGAGTGCTGGGGCTGGTCGGGATCGCAAGAGCGGTAACAGGTCTGACTGCAAAAGCGTCAACTTGACGCGAGTTGGGAGAGATATTGGGAAGATCAAGGTGAGCCTCGACTGTCGCGAGGGCTGTAACCATATTTGGTTCGTTGTTATGTTCGGGGGTGTCGATGTCCATAGGCGAGCCTGGATACGAATCATTCTCGTTGGTAGTGGCATCATTGTCAGTAGCAGCACTACGTGCAAAGCTACCAGCTCTCACACGACGAAATTTAGCAGACGGTGAAGTGATGGGCCGAGCTTGCTCATTGCTACCATCATCCATTGATCTCTTGCGAGAAGGCGTAGTAAAGCCAGAAGATTTATTGGTGGGGAACGAATTCAAATGAGACGCTTTCATGTCTATACCGATAGACTTGCCTCCAAGAAGATAGTTGGTGCCACTTGACCTCTCAGGACCAAAAGGCAGGCTGAGGGGTTTGTTGTTTGACCAATGGGCACGGCTCAAGCCGGGAGTTAGGTACTTGCTGATACCAACTGAAGCGTAGGATGGCTGCGCATTAAGGCGGCTCTTCTGGATAGCATCAAAGCTGAGGAGAGAGGTGGTGCGATTATTCGGAGAGAAGCGATGATCGGGTCTGATGAGCGGGGTGCGGAGGGGGAAGGAGGGCTTGACTTCATGCTTTCCGTTGAGTCTCACAGCCTTTGGATTTCCGGGAATATGCACGGATCGGAGCTGATACATAGGACTCTCTGCGGAAGGGGCATTGACGGTTTCCTGAGGAATGTTAGATGAGGGGAAATCGGGAGCGCAATCCATAGGGTCATGGATGGTGGTATCGACGGCCTCCTCATGGGGCGCCGAGTCTGCGGGCACATAGCATACGTCTTGCATTGGCTGGTTCTCCATGTCGGGTCTGAGAGTCGAGAAGACTCCAGACATGGTGACAAGTAAAGTAGACACAAATTCTTCAGGTGAAAGAAGTTGTGAAAGAAGTTGTAGGATGTTGATCGCGCGGTGCGAAAAGTTGCTGTATTCGCTGGAGTCGTAAACGCGTTCAGAGGTAATGGGAAGATGGGTGATAGGAGAGAAGAAAGAGAAGAGGAAGAGAAGGAAGAGCAGGGTGAAGAAGAAAACAAGAGCGGCGCCGTGGGCAGCGAAAGGGAAGGAAGAATCAAAACAAAAGTATTCACTGAAGGCAGCCATGGGCGACTGCCATAGTGATGGTGGAAGTCGCGCGCGTCGCCGCAGTGAATTGGAGCTCCATAGGAACGCGCGGGGGAAAGCGCGGGGTGGGCGAGGGGCGAGGAAGGCGCAAAGACGGAGGGGAGGCAATGAAGCCGCGAGAAGTTGAGGAAGAGACGAGGCAAGCAATGGAGTTAAGCAGCAGATCAGTTCATCTTCCGAGGGAAGCTTGGCTGCCACTTTTCCTCTTCCAGTATGTCACGTGGTGTGTGCCGGCTGGCGGATGGACTATGCATTTGCTGTTCATATGCTGTTCATCTTCCTGCGGGTATTCCCATTAATAAAAATGAACATGCGACCCATGGTTCCTCCTCAGCCTTGGTCATATGATTCTCTTGGACTATACAACATCGGTGCATGCGTAGACTTTCCCGTACGTTATTGTTTTCCCTATATACATATACTCAAAACCGGGCTCTACTTCCACGACTACCTCCCAGTAGATCACTCGTCGGTTTGTCATTCCTTATCAAGGGTCAACACCAAGCACTAAACCACCACCTTAAATTTTTAAACTCCCTTCTAGATCTTCGGTTCGGTCCCCAGGAATTATACTAGCAGTATCACTTCCATTCGCCTCCACTAATTGCTGAACATCCCACCTTTTTAAAGAACACAAAGAAAAGAAAAAGAAAAGAAAAAAAAGGAGAGAGCATCAACAGTCTATGTACAAGAACGGCAGCTTTGTTATACACCAAGGACTTTGGTTAGTCCAGCCCGCTGAACCGTAGAGAAAATAGCAAAAGGTTTACAGAATCGAAAATGGGTGATGGCTGTCGGACCCACCCCGGGAGTACTAAGCTACTATGGCGCCAGCCCTATCCGATCGAAGAATAAAGGCGCTCCCTCCATCACAATCCAGGCAATTCCTAAAGGGCACAGTCAGCATCCAGAACTCTCCAATTCGGCGCATCGGGATACACCCACCGGAATATACAACGAGTTTTGTGACAACCTCCACATCATAGCGCACTCGGGGCCGTTTGATCTGCGAAAACACTTCCTTCTCGTCCGCCTCAATTTCCGACTCAAATGGAGGGAAGGGAACGGTCGAAGAAGCTTCTTGTGAGCTAACATCGACAGAAGTCGCCACACCAGGGGCACCTGTGCCCATCATATTCTCATACTCGTGCAATTTAGATGGTTTCCGCGACAGTTTCCGTGGCTCGGACTCCGAGACCGGTCCACCTGCTTCCGGTACTGAGGATGGCTGGTTGGCCGTTGAAAGACTTTCCCGTCTCCGCTTCTCACGATATGCCAGGGTCTCATATGCGTCAGCCTCTGATTGCGGGCCGATCGAAATAGCGCGTCGTCGAGGATGCCGGATCGTGGTTATTATTGAAGGTATCTCCGAGAAGCCCGGTAGCACTTCGTGGTCCCGGAGCTGGGATGGCACTGTCGTGTATTGTCTGGTTGACACGTTACATTAGCTGCGTTTCTCTTTTCGGATGGTTCTTCATCCTCTCTTCTGTTCAGAACCACACGGTAGACTTACGAAGCGTTCCGGAAAAATCTCCGGGGAAGTATAAGGCCCAGTTTTTCCAGGCCCCGGAAAACAGGAGGCAAAGCCCGGAGCAGAAAGGGCTTGGTGACAGCTCGCCACGTGAAGAGCATAAGAACACCAATGATGAGGCGGAGAGCCGTCTTGACCAGACCTACACGCTGAAATTCGAATGGGACATTGGCCGGCACAGGTTCATCCCACATCAGGCTTGACCTAGCTATGTGCCAGTAGGCCACTTGTGCTCCAAGCGTGACTCCTGCAAAAGCCACACTGTCGTCGAAGCACGGGCAGTCATCGGCAGGCTCTGGGTGTATACGGACCAAACCCAAAATCAACAGAATCACTAGTGTAACCCCCCTTCCGGTAGCAGAAACGACATAGTCATCGATGGTCGGACCAAACGTATACTGTAGGAAGGCGAGAAGGAACCCAAGTAAACATCCAATGACAACATCAAAAAACCCATGCATACCACAGTACAGACGACCCAGGACAATGGAACAGACGTAGAGGTATGTTATAGCTTGGAGGACGATATTGACCTGAGGGCTCAGGGTGGATTCGGGGGAGTTCAATAGCGCGAGAGCGTATGCCGCAACCGAGACCGCATTGGTGGAGTGAGTCGATGGGAATCCGTATTCCAACGCCGCAGAGCCGGACATTGTTATCCGTTGGAGAGGAGGGGATAGAGGCCGCGGGAGGCAAAGCAAGTCCTTGATGAAACCACTGAAAAACACGCCGGAGGCCAAAAGATGCACCATCCTGAGAGATTGAGAGTTGTCAGCTCAATTGCAGGCCAGATAATTGTTTTCCCTCTGTCTATGTCTAAGGGCTCATCATGGCCACTTACCCGCGCCCCAAGCTCGTATACCCGCACCAGAACAAGATCGGCAGGAAAACCATGAAAAAGGTATGTGTGCCCAGATTGGCCGTGAAGGCAAAGTAGGAGTCTAGGGCCGGAGTGCGGACCCTCTCCTGGACCCAAGCCAGATACGGGGTCTCATATCGAATTAAAGGGAGGAGCTTCTGTCGTGGCCAATAACGCCAATAAGGGAGCTGGTTTCGATCTGATAGCGATTGAAGACAAGCCGCGGTTAGTCCACTAAAATCAATTGCGATTCGACAATCGACACCACGTACAATGATCGAGGCTTCTCAGCCCAGCGTCCGGCTGGCCATTCTTCCCATTGACCATGCTGTCGTTGTTGTTGTTCAGATAAGGCAGCCGTTTCAATATAGCGTGATGGTGTGTTTGCGACAACCCCCCATAAAGTTCCCGACGGATAGCAGTCTCAACACCCACAACGGGCTGGTAAGATCATTGATGACTGGAGTGGTTGGAGAGGAGACCCGAGCTTTTCGGGGAGGCCACTTTCTATCAGCGGGAAAAAAAGGAGAGCAGTAGATCGCGGTAGACTAAGTCATGCTCATCCGGCGTTATCGCAGAAAAGGTCGTGTTCTTGGCGGCCGATGCGGCCGTGGTTTGTCCAACCACTCAACTCTCGACCCTCAAGCCTCCCCCGGCTGAGCTAAGGTTTTAGTCACCCAAAACACGGCAGCGAAAGGAATATGATCGCCCTCGACAAAGTGATCTATCTAGAATCGGAACTACTTACAGCTACCCACGGGGCTGTCATCTTTATTAAAGCTGCGAGGTTAATTATAATAGTCTGGTTACTGAATGAGGATATGCTGTATGAAATTCAGTGTATTTGCCTGTCCTCTGGTGGTTTTCTCAGTGGAAGTGGTTTGAATATATATAATCATTAGAAAACCCTGTTACCTTGTCTTGAAAGCATACTACATGGTACTTTCAAGGGGGCACTCTGCGAGAGGCTTAAGCACTGGAATAGTACTGCTTGAACGAAAATAGTAATGCAGCGCATGATACGGATACTACGCGGTCCTGTCGGGACGGTGTTTCTCATCGGCGCTTATGCAGTCATTCGACCGCAGATCAATGCAGTAATTTATATATAGTATGGAGTAGTGAGGTATTACACCTACTAGTTTGCGCTGTGGTGAACTTTCAGACCTAACACGGGTTTCTTTGCTCATGATCGATGTGATGTTGAAGCCAAATTTGTACTTCCAAGTACGTAGGATACTAGTAGATAGGAAATGCTAGAGCATTGACAACCAACGTCGTGTTCTGGCACCTACGACACGGACTGACTTCTTAGCAGATGATATCTGCAACTATGATCTAGATTTATGTTGTAGCCTAAGTAGCCGATGTCCATAGTCATGAGGGGCACTGCACTGAAGTGCTAGCCGTCAATTCTCCTACTGATGGTAGGGAATGAACAAGCGCAGCTTGGCATGGTCCAGAGCTAGACCGAATATAAGACTAAACATCTTTCCATGTGGCTGAATATCTGTTTGTCAAGCTGCCAAATGGAAGCTGACAAGGATAGCGACGGCGTGGAATGAGCCCAGCCAGGATAGGAAGTTGCAGGCATCGGTGGCGGAGGCTAGAAGGCTGTCAGATCCGCCCTCATAATGTACGAATGGCTACATTTTGGCATCATGACAAGTGAAATTTCTAGCTGATAGCCATACAACTAGCAGTAGTTGCGAGGAATTCGCTCTATACACCCGGAGACACGAACAGCCTCGCCAACATACTTGAGTAAGCGGAGGCGTATCTACGGAGTACTGAACTACTAGTGGTAATGGGTAGTAAGAATCGACCACCAAATAATCCCTCATGACATCTAACTAGCCTTGTAGTGATTAACCTCGGCAGGAACAAGAATTGATTAGTTCTTTCGGGACAAATCCAAGGCTGAACGTGACATCGGGAAAGATTACGTCAACCGGGTTTTTCTCTTGTTTCTAACTAGTTTCTAATTTCTAGTGACTACTCCGGATTGTTGGGTAAAAAGCGGTTTCAGGGACCTGGACCGTGGATGAAGACTTGTGTAGCACGGACCTGCAAGGGATCGCACGAGAAGGAAACCTTGATCAATGTTATCGATCACCGGGGGCTAACGCTGCCACTAAAGCCCCATTTTGATTCGAGGATCGGGAATGATTCCAAGGAGGACGGCGATAGAGTGGTGGTAACCCGACTCGGGGCCCGGCCATCGTCGAGGAATTCCTGGTGCGCAACCCAGGTAGGTAAACAACCAAGGAACCGAGTGAACATCCGGCTGAACCTACTAAAAATAACAGGCGCGGATGAGGCAGAAGACGAATGGAATCAATGGATATGCGTCCAGCTGAAGTTGCGTGGAGTGACAAGCGGAGCTCGTGCGTCATTTGTCCCGCGGCGTTGCCATGGCAGCCCATCGGCCGGTAAACATCGGTCTCTTGCGGTTTCATGTCAGCCACGACGGCCTCGTTGTTGGAGCAGCCGTGGGAGGAGGAGGAGGCTGGCTGGCTGGCTGGCTGGGCTCATCGTGGAGAAACTAGTAGGTGCATCTGAAGCCTGACATCCCTTTCTTCCTTCAGAACCTCTTCGTGCTGGTTTCGCGTCTTGTTTTTCTAAATACACCAACCTCCTCTACAACCCCCCCTCCTCCTCACATCCCAAATAACCACCACCCCCCATTTACCTTTTGTACAGCAAGCCACTTTACTTCGACATTCCTAACAACGCCAGGGGAATTGCTCAGTACACACCGACCCAGAAAACTTTCCGCTGTGCTTTTGACAAGACAGTGGATCGTTGAGCAGCAATTATTACCGAGCCGCATTTCCAGACCGACAATTCCCACCCCTTCCGGAACGGCTGTATAACTCACATTCCTCAAAATTCTCCTACTCCGCCATCATGTCAGGTACAATGTACGACGAGCACGTTTATGCACCCTCACGGCGCCATTCAGTTGCTACTCCTCCCCCATCCATGACTCCACGGCATAGTCGGACCCGCAGTCAAAGTGTCAGAGTTAGCAACGGCACCGTGAGCACAAATACAAGCATTTCAAGTGGGAGGATGTCGGAAGCTACAAATATTACACATCCGCCTGCGTATTCCAAGAAGTTTGTTGTGGTTGGCGATGGTGGATGTGGAAAGACGTGCCTTTTGATCAGTTATTCCCAAGGTTATTTCCCAGAGGTAGGTTCTGCATACGCCCTGGTGAGGATTTCCGCATCGTTGCCAAACTAATGATCGCGTGTTCAGAAATATGTCCCTACTGTGTTCGAGAACTACATCACACAAACAACCCACCGAGCCTCGGGCAAGACGGTTGAACTGGCCCTCTGGGATACTGCTGGACAGGAAGAATATGACCGACTGCGTCCACTGTCATATCCGGAGACGGACCTGTTATTTGTTTGCTTTGCGATAGATTGCCCTGCATCTTTGGAAAACGTCATGGACAAGGTAATTGCCAGCTATCCCGCGACGAGTTATGGGAGCTAATACCGGCCGCAGTGGTATCCTGAAGTTCTGCACTTTTGTCCCACTACCCCGCTCATTCTGGTTGGATTGAAGTCAGATTTGCGCTCGAAGAGAACGTGTATCGAACTTCTAAAGACCCAGGGCCTAACGCCTGTGACGCCGGAACAAGGTGAGGCGGTGGCGCGCAGGATGAATGCCTCTTACATTGAGTGTAGTAGCAAAGAAATGCGCGGCGTCGACGGCGTCTTCTCTCTGGCAGTCGATACCGTTGTCACTGCCGAGGAACAAGACTGGAATGACCGCCAGACATCTTCTACTCCCGGAAGCAAACCTAAAGTCGGTGGTGGTGGCGGGGGAAAGAAGGTCAAAAAGCGTTCCTGCAAGATTCTGTAAACTTTGGTCTTCTTTCGATGTTTGTCTGGTCATGATCATCTGCCCCTTTTGTTTTCGCCTATTCGTCCTCTTGCAATGTCTGTTTTTCTGCCATTCCTGTTATGCCGAGTGAGAAGCCTGGTTGCTTCGACGGTTTCCCCACGCTTTTTGTATGTGACATGACATGACATGACCAAGAGGCCATGAAGATGAAAGACACTGCCTGATGCATCTGTGTCTGCTACTTTACCCTCTACCTACCCTTTCCACCTATACATGCCGGCGGCTTCTTGACTTTTGCTTCCTCCATGTTGCTATACCTGTTTTGACCCTGATGACTGTTTTCCCTCAATTACCATTACTCTTATCATCATATCCTTCCCACCCCTTCGATTTGGCGATTGTCTTCTTTCCCCCTGTCTGAATGCTTGATGTTGTCACGAATTTGGTCTGTTGGCCACTCTTTTGCCATGCATGGGATGGGTGTTTACTGGCGCAAGCGAAAACCCCGTGTACTTGAATTGTTGAAACTGTGTTGTTGTCAAACTCATAAACTCTGTTATTGCCCCCATATGGTATCCGTATCCCGATATTTCCAAGAGCAAACAGAGTAAAGCAAAAATAGGAAAAACGAAATAAACAATACAACAGTACAAGTAAAAACAAAGAACAACTCCTCTACCATACGCCACACCAATCAACCAATCTAATCCATACCCACATAAACAACCAGAACTTCAAACCAAACCATAGACCCAATTATCCTCACCTATCACCGATGATCCTCCTCGTGAAGCTGACTCCCCTCCTCATCATCATCCTGATGCTGCCTGCCTCCACCCCCACCGCCGGCACCGCCAGCACCACCACCACCCCCCTTCTGCTCCTCCCCAGGCCTGCTGCCCATAAAGTTCTCAAACTGGGACCAGAGCGCTTCCACAGAGCCGAATTCATTTCCCACCTGCAAGAATCACAAATCCATCAGTTTAGAGTGAAATCAAACCAGAACAGGATAGAATAGAATTGACGGGATCTGATCCGATCCGATCTGATGTGATCGGCATGCGCGGAATGGATCGAAGGAAGAATAAGTGGGGGGGTGTGGGCGAGTGATTATCCGCATATTTGTTTTTGTCGGAGAAAGGTAGGTAGGGTAGGTAGGTATCAACTTACGGAAATAATACTCTCCAGGTTCCGGTTCAGCCGGTTGATGTTTTGGAGGACTTGTTCCATGCCCTGTTGAGTAATTGGTCAGATTATCAGATGGGATTGAGATTGAGGATTTGGTTTGGGGATGGAGGAGTAGGTTGCAAGAAATGTAGTGCATAGGGTAGGAAATATATATAGGTGAGAAACTCACCACTGCAATCTCTCTAACTAACTCTGCCCGCTGCTGTTCGAAGACTGTTGGGCTGGAGGATCGGTTTTTGGGAATTGGTGTTGTTGACATTGTGGTGGTGTGTGGTTTGAGATTTTTGGGCTGGGTGGAAGGACTCAATGAAAAGAGGAAGGCAATCTGTGGGATGTTTGTTGAGAGGCTAAGTGTCTGCTGGCTTCAATCTTCCCCCGTCCTTGTATGATATTGCTTGATAGCACGCGTTTGTTGATTGCTTTCGATTGTGATTGTCGGTTGTTGTTGGCTCGAGGCGGGGCGGTTCCTGTCCTCGGATTGCCTGATTCGGTTTGGTGGCGTTTATTTTGCCCGCGCTGGGGTTCACCGCTTTGGTGGCCGCCTTGGGGCTTATCGATAAGGGGTTGGTCTATAGTTGAGGAGTCCATTGGTATTGCTTTGGGCGACAGTGGGGAATTTGAGCAGTTTCAACTATCTAGTCAGGTAAGATAGTCTAGTATAGAATTTCGGCTTTGGGGCTACACTCTAGTCGAATAGTCATCGGACACAATCTGTGACATGGAATAGACTTACCACAACAGCAGCATGCATTGCCATCTAGCTCGAGCATTGCAATGAGTTAACGGCCATACGTGGGTGTCTACTCTTACTACATGTGCTATCCTCACCATAATATATATTCTAGCTTGGTACAGATAATTTACTATACTATAGGACAATTGAAATGTTCCGCAGTTAGCTCCCGAACTTTACCAACTTGACGTTCCTGTGACGTAACGCGTTGCCGAAGGTCTATTTAACATGGCAAGACTATCAGAATACTATATCGAAGACATATGCAAACCCAGTCGATAGTATAAAGATGAAGGCAATCGGCGTGGAGAACTACGGACCTATTGATCGTCTTGAAGCTCGGAAAGTCCCGAAGCCGACTGATCTTCAGCCGCGGGATCTTTTAGTTCGGTAGGATGGCTTCATCTTTATTGATCCTATGCATAGTCGCTGAAAGTCATGACAGAATTAAAGGCGTTGCTGTGAATCCGGTGGATACGAAAGTACGGAATGGTACATATGACGACTATCCTGGTAAGACCTAGACTACATCTGACATGGTTTACGTGGAGTACTAGTTGATTGACGTCTCGACAGACTACTACGACCGCGTTCCTCGACCATTCCAGATCACCGGCTACGATGCTTCAGGCATTGTCGAAGCCGTTGGATCACAATGCTCGATGTTCAGTGTTGGCGATGAGGTATACTACTCAGGAAGCCCCATCAGACAGGGCTCAAATGCCGAGTATCAACTAGTAGATGAGAGGAGTGTTGGTCGCAAGCCGAAAAAGCTCGATTTTGTAGAGTCGGCTGCCATGCCCTTGACGTATATCACAGCGTATGAGGCTCTCGTCGAAAGACTGGAGATAGAAAAGGGCGAAAAAGCAACTCTCCTCATCATCAACGGGGCCGGCGGCGTGGGTGCTATGGCTACCCAGATTGCACGTGTTGTGTTGGATCTCCCTGTGGTTATTACGACAGCGTCACGCCCGGAGACAATCCAATTTACGAAAGACATGGGTGCGACTCATGTCGTGAACCACAGAGAGGACATTGCTAGTCAGATCGAGAAACTCAACCTCGATGTACCTCTGAAGTAAGACATGCCTGTGGAAGTCTAGAATCATTACTAACAAGAGCTCAGGTATATCTTCATCACACACTCCACAGACCAGTACATGGATACGTGCGCCCGAGTTTGCGCGCCATTTGGCAAGGTCTGCTCGATCGTCCAAGGTCAAGCTAAGATGTATGGAACCGAATTCATGTCGAAGTCGTTGACGTTTGTCTGGTGTCTGCTTGGAACCAAGCCGTATCATAAGGTGGATGTCGAATCGCACCACCGCATTCTGGAAGAGCTCTCAGACTTGATTGATGCGGGAAAGATCAGGTGTCATCTCACGAAGCGACTGAAGTTGACGCTTGAGGGTGTGAAAAAAGGACATGAGCTATTGCAGTCTGGTGGGAGTATAGGCAAAGTCGGGTTAGGTGTAGATGAGCCTGGACCTGGGGAGATCTTTGCATAGTGATGTGTGTAACTCCATTTAGCTGTTGAATATACGCAGGCATGAAAACTGCAATACAGACAAAAATATGGCCATCACTGTTCTCTTTATCTTCTCCATATTACCGCCAATGATACCTATGTATGAAGATCCTCGGTCTTGCTTCATCCACTATCCACCGCGACCACCACATTCCAACCACCTACCTAGAGGTGAGCAAAGAGAGACCTTAAAAGTACCCCGAAACATCCAGAGCCAACCTCCGGTATGCACCGATGCAACAAGCAGGTGTTTACAGCCCTCGCGGTTTCACAAAATGATACCATGAGATTCACAATCAACTGTATACGATCAAAGACCACAACATCCAAGTCAACTCCTTTACAGAATGCATATCCCAGCCAAAAAAAATACCTCAACGCGTCCGAGATTTGCGTCTCTCGCCACTAATACACTGCACCTACACCAACATAGCCACAAATAACATACCTGACCCAAACTACACTCCACGCGTCCAGCCACATACAAAGCGACCCGAGCAATCCAAATCCAACGTGGAAGAAAACCCGCAATGGCACAGACGCAGACACCTATTACGTCTCCTCAGACGTGTTCTGGTGCGTCGCCACAGAGAAAAGCAAGCCGGCCAGTTACATATACTGACCCGGTGTAGGTAACAGATTTCAGCCATAAAAGATCCAGCAAGGCATGGTAGTTGTGTGTGTGTGTGTGTGCTAGCCAATGCCCAGGGTTTGTTTTATCACGCCACCATCTGTCAATCACCCCATACACTCCCCTCCCAATGATAAGGGTCCGGTACGTACACAGCGAGCAGGGGGGATCTACATGGACACGTGTATTTCGCCGATGATTATGGTGGTGGATGGACCCTTGGGGGGGTTAATGGATATGTGAGGGGGCTTGATGTGGAGTGGAAGGCACGGTGCCATTTGAGTTAGCGTTGTGAGCTGAAGGAAGGAAGGGAGGGCATTTCTATTATTATGATGGCGTGGCAAAGGATCCGAGTCATAGACTCTCGATGAGTCTTCCGTAGTGTGATCCTACATAGTGTTGGATGAAAGTCAAGTTGCTGTACGCGCGTGTGTATGTGTGTGATATTCTTAAGGGCTGCCAGGTAAGTAGATAAGTTAACGGTAAGACGCGATGACGAGGGACTGATCGCACGCCACACAAATAAGATAGAAAACGAGCCAACAAAGTCAACTTATAGCAGAACCAAATATTACATTTTGACTATATTAAAAGCTCAAATAAATCAAGCTACTACCGGTACTGGAGTGGATACCATCATCATCATCACACCCGACCCAGTTGCGTACTCGTGGAGAGAAAACAAGTTCAGACCCACAATCATAGATAGCATCATAAAACTATAATTGCTCTGCCTAAATAGTCATTTTACCCCAACAAACTAGCTTAGTAGTCTTCCAGACCACAAACACAGACTAGCAGCCTCTTCCCTATAGCATAGTAAACTACCCCCCACCCATCATGCTATGACAATGAACACATCCATCCAACTACCAGCTAGCAAGCTAACTAGCTACTAGCTAGTGAGTTTACGCCATCACTTGCGTAAGCACTCAATCCTGAGCAAGATAACCAATCAAGATGATTACCACCACGTAGACAGTGCACTGCACTTCTCAGTGGGTGATAGTTGTCAGATAAATGACGGGAGTGTGGAGGCCACTAATGATTAGTAGTTTCCAGTGGATGGAGCGATGATGTCAATGCACTGAGCTAGCTAGTGCGCTAGGTAGGTAGGGCTTCAGGCATCAAGGTTCTAGCGCAAAATTTGGTAGTCATCACGGATGATAGCAATTCCGTGCGATCATTAGATCTGATTGAGGATGATGACGGTGGTAGTGGTCATTGGGTATCGATAAAGAAGTTGAGACAGTAGATGTCGTAGGGATTTAGGAGCGACAGTTCTAGAAGAGCTTTCGGGTATGAGACCTGGGGAGTGTGAAAGAGAAAGTAAGGATAGAAAATAATCTCAAATCCAGATCCTTTCAAATTGATTCTGCCTACTCCGTCGCTAAAGGACGAATAAAATAAACCCAACCAATTCAGTCCAGGCCAGCCCAACTCAATCATGTGTTTGTAACTCTTTATCCGGATCTATCGAACTCCCGAGTCATGTCCGTGTCTTCGTATCGTTTCGTCTTGGCTTTTATCGTTTCTTTGTTGTATATATCGTATCGTAGCGTAGCGCATCATCTGCGTAACTGACGGTCGCCAGGACCGTGAAGTTTTGTGGCATAGAGTGGAGGAACGAGAGGAGAGGAGGAAAAGCTAAAGAGTATCATGCTGAGCCTCTTCTGGCTGGGACGAGGATGGTGCTGAGTCGCTTCCAGCGCTGTGTGGGTGAAGTGGGTGCATCGCGATCTAGACGGTTGTCTAGACTCGGCTTAGAAGAGGATTGAGTGGAGGATCGGGGCCTAGTGACAAGCGCTTCATGGTCGGCTAGGACATCCTCGAGCCGGACATCGCAATCAGACATGCGCGGCCGAGTATCATTGGGGTCGAGGATCTCGATGAATTTGGACGACATATCGCGCATCTTTCGATTGGGGAATGACTTGGTAGAGGGAAGTTGGTGTTCGTTGATTCTTTTTTTTGTTGGGCGGAATGCGGCTTTTAACGTTTTCTTTTTTTTGTCTCCTTCGCGGTGGCGACGATCACGAGGGTAATTGGGGAACTTTGTTGGTGAAATAGTCGGCGGTGGAAAAAGTAAACCCAACCGGGTCGGAGAAGTAGGTTCGTGATGGATGTTAAGGGAATAACTAGGAGCACTGTCCACCGTGAAGCGAAGAAGATCCGGATAACCGCTGGCGGATATATCTTCCGTGCGGTCAGAGAGTGGATAGGGAGTTGGAGATGAGTAGAGGGGTAAACGACTGGAATATGAAGGACAAAGGAGGAGAAGGACGAGAACGAAGATGAAAAAGGCACAGACAGTGCAGTAGCGGGTAATGCCGATTCGCTGAGCACGGTTTCAAGTATGCGCCAGGCAGGGATGTTCGAGTGGTCTTCTGCGTCAGAGCGGATGAGCTGACAGAGAATGGCCCTGAAAGAAATATTCTCGTTGTTGGAGAGGGATCTAGGCGCCGTTGACGTCCGGGGAAGATGGGTAGTATTTATTATTGCACGAAGATTTTACTTTTGAGTTCCTCTATGATGAGGGTGTACCCATTGACCCGCCAGTCATAGTGCCGCGAGTTCCGCATCACAAAGCAAAAGTCAAAAAGCCAAATTATTTGCCAGAACACGCGGGGGTTGGGGGCATGTGGGAAGGGATCAACTGAGGGACTGGGACGGTGGCGCATCCGCCAGGGTACGAGTGAGCAAGGGCATCAGCGGCCATATACGCCGTGTGCCCGGGTAGAGCATGTTGTGATGGGCTACCGGACCCTCTGATTGACGGGGCTGGCGGGGGTCAATCCTCAGGAAGGAGGGAGGAGTTCCGACGATGGTTCGTCCGTCATTCCGAAGGGTGTGAGTGTGATTGCCGGTGCTGATGAAGCGGTTGATGCGGTGGATGCGTGGCGTTGGGTTGGGTTGCTGGTCGTAGCTCGCCGGATCAGTCGTCAATCGTCAATAGTCATTGCGATCATGTCTGCAAGCGCGTTCGAATGGAGCTCCTGTTCCCTTAATTCCTGATCCAGTAAGACGCGATATCGACTCGACTCGACTCCACTGCCCTGCGGACCCTCCCGCCCGTCCCGGAGAGTGAGACTGAGAATGAGAGCATGACGTCGCACCGAATGCGATCCATGGGTCGTGTTCTGCAGAGCTATCCGGTGGCTCTAGATGTAAGAAAGAGATACTGGCTGTGCTCAACCACTCTAACCATTGTTGTGGTGGGGTTGGGAGTCATCGCAAAGGGAGCTGATGTGTCCAGCTCCATCGTTGCAGAGGCTGTCCATACAAATCGCGGGGATGACGGCAGATCGGCTTATCAAATGGATACGGCCCTCAGACGATCCATGTGCAACGCAACGAGCCCATCGATCAGCGAGGTTTATAAATAGAATGATAATGGAAAAGAATGGAGCGTGTATTGGACAAGTTTAGCGGAGGAATTGAGGTTAAGCCACGAAAAACTCCACGAGAAAGTCACTCCAGAGTCACGGGATACCCTCCCAGAAGCATGTGCTCGCCGTGACGTCATCGCATCGTTGCTTCATCTGTGCTTCGCCTCCATTCTTCACCAGCCGCAATAATTACTGGCTTACTGTTGGCTGTCTGTTGCTGGCACAATGCCACTTCATCATCGCAATGCCTACTAAACGTTCCAGGAAAAATCCATCGGTGGCACAGAAGCCGCCATCCCCTCCTCTGTCCGAGAAGAATGCCGTCATCACGCAAGACATCCCAGAGAAAGAGGAAGCAAAGCGAGAATCAGCTCCTCGAGATGAGTCGTATACACCTGAGCTCTTCGATGAAGATGAAGAGATGCCCGAAGAAACGGAGAATACCGTCGATCCCGACACTGGAAAAGCAGCCAAAAGAACGACCGAATACGCACTAGGAGGGGGAGGGTACAACGCACTCAAGTCGTACAAAGGGCAGATGTACTCCGGAATGGCTGTTGGAGGTTCACACACCTGGACATACGACCAAGGAACGTGGAAGGAAACCAAGGAAGAACCCGATCTTTGGAAAATTGACTACCAGACGAACAAAAGACGAGCGAGGAAAGCGCCTACAGGGAGTGGTGCGCCTGTGGGAACCGAGTATCACTGGCTGATAGTAGGCCATCAGGTAGGCTACACCATCTCATGAGACGACGGCTGGCTCACCCCCCACAGCATGTCAAGAAGATCGATGCCAACACGTACGAGACGCACCTCACGGGCTCAAAGTATAAACTGGCGTACAAGTCCGCGTCATCGAACTCTTGGTCGGTGCCGACCGTCAAGAAGCAACGGGACCGGGAAGTGGAATTGCTGGATGATGCTAAACAGCGCGTCCAGGGACTGCCGCCCGTGCTGGCATCAGAGAAGATTAAGGTTGAGAAACGCGAAAAGGGCCAACAAAGCCTCGAAAGCATGTTTGGAAAGGCTGCAGGCGTGAAACGAAAAGCGGATGAAAATGACTGATACGCGTGGCTTCGAACGAATGGCAGTCCTGGGCCATGTCATTCCTGCTTCGGCAACAATATACAAAAGTCATTCGAATATGCTTTACTGGAGAGATGATAATCGATCCAAGGAGATGGGTCGGGCGCACCCCGGCCCATACCTTGCAAAAGCTTTTACTGTGAGGTTATCCAGCGGGTCAAACAGCAATCTAGATCCTGCACTGATGAAACCGCAAGACCAACGATCGGTAGAAGAGCAACGAAGTCGAGCACGTAAGATAACTGGATAAAGCATGGCTACAGCCGTCTGCTCTACTACCCGAAAGCATAAATTCAATCCAAGGTCACAGCCAAATCTAGACTCACCCGCGAACAAACAAATCTCAACGCGCATGGCACAATCTAGAACATCAAGAAGAAGTCAATCTCCGACCCACAATCTCATCCCATCCCTTGGAACCGTGACATCATCCACCCCAAACCCAATATAAGCTTAACTTTGGCCTCATTCCAGACCTCCCCTAGACCATCCACCCGCGGTCTACCTTCCCCTTCAACATCCGCCACCCAACCACCCGCAATTTCCACCACCATCCTGGCAGCAACCCGCATCATGTCCAAACGCATCAGCACCTTCTTCCAACCTCTTCCGTCGAAGAAACTCAAACCGGATGCAACTACGATAACAGAATCAACAACAACAACATCATCATCAACAACCGTCCCACCGAAACCATCCACATACACCCATCACCCAAGCTATCCAATCCCGATCCGCGACCCGCCCAGCACCATCACCACGCCTCTCCTCTCTAATCCAGCACCTCGACCCCCCAAATCCATAACCAACCACCCGCACCTGGATCTCCTCTACTTCCAACCCTTCCTCCCCGCCCCACTAGCCCGAGACCTATTCGAGTTCCTGCGGAATGAACTCCCCTTCTACCGCGTCCGATATAATATCCGGCGCGGCGGAACAGAAACATCCATCAACACGCCAAGATACACGACTGTCTTCGGGGTAGATGATACATCGACATTCACTACTGCAAACTCGGAATCTGTTTCTACTAATTCCAATCCTGACACGAAAGTCCAAGAAGACGACACAACAAACTACAATCTACTAGATTCCCCTCAGCAACAACCACCAGCCAACTCACCAATATTGGTCGACAGTAAAACACGCACCGAAACCAAATCCAGATATCGATGCAGGCCTCGACCCATCCCGCCGTGTCTGGACATTCTGCGCCAAGCAGTGGAAAAGGCCACGGACGATGAGACAAGATATAATTTCGTCCTGGTGAATTACTACGCCACAGGGGACGATAGTATCTCGTACCATTCGGATGATGAGCGGTTTCTGGGCCAGAATCCCACCATTGCGTCCTTATCGCTTGGCGCGGGGAGAGATTTCCTGTTGAAGCATAAACCAGGTGGTGGTAGTACTACTGATGCTGATCGTGCGATTGCAAATGCAGCTGCGAAACCGCTCAAGTTTCCCCTCAAGTCCGGCGATATGCTAATTATGAGGGGCGAGACTCAGGCAAATTGGCTGCACAGTGTGCCTAAGCGCAAGGGGTTGCAGGGAAGTGCTGGTGCTTTGGGCCGGATTAATATCACGTTTCGGAGGGCGGTGGTGCCTGGCGGCACGGAGAATTATTATCGATTTAATGTGGGGGATGGAGTGGTGTATCGGTGGAAGGATGAGGAGGGGAAGATGGTAGCTACTACTGAATAATTTATAACTGTGTTGTAGCTTCATGCCTATGTAGATACAACTGGATTGGAGGAATAGGGGAAGGGAGGCCACTCAGTGCGAAGCAAACGGGTTGCTGTAAGCTCGGAAGCGATCAAGTGGCTGCGCACTGTTGAGGATCGTGTGCAACAATGCCCCGTAGTCCCATCCGATAGCTGCGGCCGCAAGAGCCGTTAGACTGGCCTGGTCCTCGCGTCCAGGTCGTCCAGGCCCGGTCATATTCTATTCATTATTAGCTACGGTTCGGTGATTGAAGGGACATGACATACAGGTTTCATATTGATATCGAAGATGGCAAACTGTGACCCCTCGCTAAACCGTCTAATGTCAATGCGAATGGGTGCCGTCGCCCCAATTAATTTGGCGACCTGCTCGCACTGTCGCATTGCGCTTCTGTACGACTCATCCTGCATTTCGGTTTCTGTGATAGCGCGCGAGTTCGCAGTCACGGCCACTGTACCATTGTATGGCGCAATGCCATCGACATGGTTGAAGCGAGTGATCGGAGGCAGACTCCAGTACTCTGGACTCTCTGTCGATGGCGGCATAACTGTGATCGTTGCCTCTTCGCCCGTGAGGTATTCTTCCACCATGACGATGGGAGACTCGAGCAGGAGAGCGTTGAGATGTTCCTCGAGCTCGGCTCGATTATGGCATACCTTGACACCGTGGCTGCCGCGACCACGGACGGGTTTACCAACCACGGGATAGTTTGAAATGGAGTCTAGTATAGGGGAGATATTATCCGAATTGCGGATCAACCATGAGCGGGGGAGGGTAAATGAGCCACGGATACGGAGTTGGTCGTTGAGATAGGCTTTGTCATCGAAGGATTCAACCAGGGTCGGTGGCTGCCCGACAACAGAGATAGGGGCTGAAGCAAGAGACTGCGAGGCTTGTAGTGGATGTGAGGAGAAGAGGATCGTGTTGGCCCAAAGGTGCGTTGCCCCTTGGCGCACAGCAGAGAGGATCCCATTCTCTGTGTCCGGGAAGCACCAGCCTTCTTGCTCTTTGGGGTTCGGAGAAGAAACCGGAGTCACGACTCGTACGCCACGGTTTTTGAGAGTGTAGGCGATGTCTGATCCCGAGTCTTGGTAACCTGGCATCTGTATTAGATTGAGTCCTTGGGATAGCAGGAGTGGGGTGTTATGCCGCCAGGCTTGCGGGGCTTGCGAGCGCCGTTGATGATGGGCGGCTCGATGGCCTGGTAGAGGACTGCGACTACTGGAGGGGTAGTCGCGTTATGCAATGATCGGGTTATTCGTGTCATGGGTAGACTCATCGTGTTGTTTAGGTGAATAGGTATTAGGGGCTGGAAATGACGGAGTGTGTTTTATAGTTGTGGAGCAACCCGAGAAAAGTGCCAGCATCGGATGAATCCAGCTGATCCTCGGATAGATCCGAAAACACGGAGTAGCCCGCATCTGCCGATTGTACTCCTGATAGCTTCATTGTGTCATGGAATAGAACAACGGCCGACTGTTTGCCTGCGTAAAAAGATCCGGAGAGAGTTCTCAAGGCCTTTTGACGATGTATTGTAAGTAAGGCTGCACGACAAAAGATTCCTATACCGGATCCCCTAATATCGCATGTCCCGTAACAGTTCGTCGACAGGAGTAATAAGCCGTGTAGAGTAGAGAGTATAGGCATTACTTCTGATATCAAAGACATTGGACCGGTCCTCTGTTGGTTGAGATTATTAGGCACTTCCTCCAGCTTCCTCGAACGCTATCTGCTGGTGTACAGTCATCGTTCTGAAGGGGTGAGTGAGGTGATTTTTGTAATGAAGAGCATGGATCTGTCGTCGATAAGAGTGCCGTATTTACAAAATGGGTCTCTAACAGACAGGTTTGGTTAGCTTCAATTGTTGACAGGAAAACTAGGATGTCATACCTCAATGATCTGGCGACAATTGTCTGGCAATGTTGAGTGGTGCTAGATGCAGCCTTAAACTGGGATGGCTTCCTAGATTAGATGCCCTTGTGCGAACAAACAGATTCAAACGTCGATGATAATGATATCTTAAATTCAAGGGAGAATGAGTTGGTCCAGACGACCTCTGATGCTACTCTGCTGCCTGCAGCAAGTGGAAAGTCTTGAAACCTAACATTGGGGCAACGAAGGACTTGTAATCTGCTCAGCGAAACAATGCCCTACAAAGAGAATGACAGCATGGCACAGCCTCAGAGTGATTTAGTGTGATTAAAGTCTGCTGGAGGTGGGCAGAAGTGGGCCCTCAAAATAAGCAAGGACGCACTAGACAAACCAAGCAAACGCCGGTGACTGGATTTAGGACCCCAGGAATATACGTATATATGAAAAATAGACCCCATTTCATGGTATACACAAGCCTCAATTATATTTCTACCATATACGCTAAGACCTAGTATCCGATGGATACGATACTACCTTTGTCCATGGCAGCAAGCGAGTTGTCCGTATCCAAACTTGCTAGGAAGCATTTCGACCATGCGAAGCAGACGACCCGGCCACTCCTCGTCGCGAATACAGCCATCTGATATTGATCTGGACTTTTCGCAAGTATGCTGGGATCGTGTGTGTAAATCAAATGCTTGGATATTAGGGCAACAACTGTTGTGTTTGGCAGAGATCTCTCTAAAAACTGTCTTACCCCATGGAACTTCCCTGTCCAAGCGACGTACCCGAAAACTTTCAATGTGACTGAATATTGACTGCATATCATCACAAGGGTACTAGGACAAGCATGATGACATGAGCGATAATAGCGTGGTTATGAGGTATCACATAGCGGTACTGAAGTGGCTGCAGTGGCTCCTATTTGTTTGACTCGAGTCCCTGTGTATATGACGATGGATGACTGATGGGACTCAGCCGAAAATGAATCAACTTTGCGCTGACTGCACAACATGAATAAAGCCCAGACCCTCCTAATAGAATCTTTTGTCGAGAGCTTTTGATCGTCAGACTCGCGTGAAGACGGATCTCGCTTCTGCGGAATTGCGGGTTGCGATATAACACTCAATTTTCTGATATATCACATCCGCCGAAACACTTTCAATAAATACTGCCATGACACGGGGCTTTTGCATTCGCGTGTCCTTCGGATAAAGCGCCATCGGTTATGTCCGACTGTCTGACGGCAAATATTTGATACATCACCTCACGGATTTGCCGATGGCAGACGTGGCTAACCTACCATGATCGCACCTCATCTAGCCAAAAGGATAAGTGTGCTGGGGGCTATTCAGGGCTAGCCTTACAGCGTTTACTTCTGAAGGCGCCGATCCTAGGAGTGTTGAGGCTGATGGAACAGGGGGGCTGTTGAGTTGGCTCACGGACGATCCGAATCTCCCCCAAAGGTATGGAATCTGACAGAGGTTACTCCAGAAATCGCCGCGAAAAAGAAGATTTGAGAGCCTCACGTCTAACTAAGTTTGATGCTGCTGATTGGCACTTTCGATGTCATGAGGCTGAGGGGATGGCAGGCTGAGCGAGGGTCACGTTAACAGTCGGGGTAACAAGGGGAAACTCGCTCCGAGCCAACCAACTAACCAACCAACCATTTGCTACCGTCTACAAGCAGCGACCAAACTTGAAGTCAGGTAAAATGCGGGATCTGGCTATTCCAGACATGACTTGCAGATCAAGACAATTGAGGTCGCATATCACGCGCGAAGCTTCGGAGAAGACCGACGACCGCTAAAAGAGGCGAACGGGGTCCAGGGACTATTGAGAATGGCAGAATCGGGAGATTGAGTATGTACTGACTGCCGGTACCAGATACAAGAAGATCAAACATTCAGCAAATATAACTACAACCTCGGTCTCCATCCACTCTCCTTGAGTTCCCTGCGACTCTCTTCCCGCAACACTCGCTTGAGAATCTTGCCACTTGCCGTCTTAGGTATGCTCGGTACAAACTTGACACCCCCTGTGAGCGCTTTATATCCCGCCAACCTCTCCAATAACCAGCTCTTTACCATATCCTCCGTCAACCTGCTCTCATCGGTCTCGGGCCGGCGGACTACATACGCTCGCGGCAACTCCGTCCCCGGGACCACATCCCGCAACCCAATCACGGCAGCATCCACAATGAGCGGATGCGCCAACAGCACGGCTTCCAGTTCCGGTGGAGCAACTTGAAATCCTCGGACCTTGATCAGCTCCTTTTTGCGATCTACTATATACCATTTCTGGGTAGCACCATCGCAATACGCGATGTCCCCCGTGTGGAACCAGCCCTGCTCATCGAAGGATTCCGCATTGGCAGCTGGGTTGTTGAAGTACCCAGGGGTGACGGCAGGACCGCGGACACACAGCTCGCCTCGTACTCCATACGCGGAAATATCAGTTCCGTTGTCGTCTACTAATCTATATCATTAAGTTAGCCCCGAGCTGATGGAACGAAGGAAGAACATACTTAGCCTCCATGTTCGGCACTAGCCTCCCGACCGACCCTGTCTCATCCCCTTCATCCCACCGGAACATTGTCGCAATACAGCATGTCTCTGTCATACCCCAAACCTGCGTACAATTGGCCCCTGGCCCAAGCAACCTTTGGAACCGTTTCTGGGCGTCTTTGTCCATGGGTGCCGCGCCCAAATTGCTCGCCCGAATGGAGCGCAGATAGCCCCGTTCGTAAGACATCGGATGCATGATGATGGCAATGGCAATGGGCGGAACGACGGCCATCTCAGTGACTTGGTACTTTTCAACCGTCTGCAAGAAGAGGGGTAGATCGAAACGCCGCATGACGTAGTTGATATGGCCAGCTTTTAGGCTGCCGAAATGGCTGCTGGGAGCAGCAGCGGCGTGAAAAAGGGGAACAGCGATGACTCTGCTTACCTTTATAAGTCACTTGTCAGCCAGACAGTCATTCATTCATCGATAGGGTCAACGGAAACAATTTCCAAGTGAGGTACATACTCGCCATGGTCGCGGATTAAACTCAAACACAAACTCGTGTTGGGCGACAAGATTCATATGCGTGATATCTACCGCCTTGGGAAGCCCTGTAGTCCCGCTACTGAACAGCCTGGCTGCCGTAGTTGTCCTAGACATCTCCTCGTTGTCAAATCTTACCCAATCTTGCTCACCATGTTCGAGCAGCTCAGTCCAGGACACCGCTCCATCTGGTACTGACTGTCCCAAAATATTGAATACCCGGATCCGATGTGTTGGGATTGATGTTGCTTTCGCTGCCGTAGTTATCGCATCGAGATGCTCCGGCTCTGTGATGATGAAGCTCGTCGCTGAGGAGCGGAAATGATGGCCTAATTCGAAGGTCGTGTAGGCTGGATTTGAGCCGGTAAAGATTCCCCCTGCGCCAACGATCGCCAGGACTAGCATGGTATAATAGATCTATCATTTGTGAGTAACCAACTGGCAGCGGAATTGGAAATTTTTGAAAAAAAGCGTACATCATTGAAAGAGTGAATGGCGACACAGTCGCCCTCTTGCACGCCCCAGGCGCGCAGCCCCGAGACCAGTTGGCGAACAATAGTCCGGGCTTTGTTGTAGGAAATGGAGCGAGAGGGATTGTGGACATCGACGTAGATCTGTACCAGTTAGAGGTGTTCTGTAGACGAGAAGAAAAGAAATTCGAGAAGAGGAGAATGTATCCCCCATCGGAATATTACCGGTTCATTATGATTGTAGGGCGGGTCAGAAAAGACATAGGAGATCACATCGGTGCAGGGCACCGGGGCCCTGGCTGCGGGTTCAAAAATCATGCTAGATGGAAAAAAAGAAAGGACAAGGGGCGACGCGAGGATGCAAGGATGCAGGGACCAGGAAGACGCATGCTGACCGATTTATAACCTCAGCTGAGGTGAACCCAGCCGCGATGCTGAAATAGGGTTTATCGTTGTGTCTGGAAGGCCACGGAGCCGGCAATTGGCACTGACTCGAGTACTGGACACATGGCCAGCATGGTATGACCGGGACCCCCGCCTGCGACAAAGGCATTGTTATTCAACGGCCCTACGGGAGACCATTCATGGAACGCCAGACCTGCAGATCGGAGAATATCGAGCAATCAGCGTGCACTGGCCTGGCCGGGGGTACTCGGATTTTAGTGTTGCGTGTCGTTGGGAAATGGCCAGAGAGACCAATGGCTGCGAGGCTAGCTGATAAACAGCCCCCAGCAGGCAACCCACCGACCCGCAGCGCTGCATTTGGCAGCTGCCTTCAAGCCAATAATTAAGCTCTCCTGCGCCTGAGAAGCTCGCCAACGGCCGTGGCATGGCAGCTTGGGTCCTCGGCCCATGCTTATCACCGATCACAGCCGAACCTGCACCCTCGGATACCTTTCCATTCTCCGCACCGCTACAGTGGTGCCGAGCACAAGAACATTGTCAATGCGATGAATCCCACGCCAATTTGTCCAAGCGCAGAGTGAGAGTCTCATGATTTGCCGACGGGTTCGGTGACAGCACAAGACCTGATAGCGACCGCAGCATCGTGCTGATTGTTATCACCGAAGTCGAATCTACAAGCCCGCACATATCCGGTCTGCGTTGACCGCAATGCAACAGGCCTGACCGTGACAGATCCCATCATGCTAGGCTGCCGCAGACCGTGCCTTCGTTAGGAAATTAGTCAGCGCGGTATGCACTGGGCTAACCGTTGTTGCTGTCGAGCATCAGGCCCAGATTATGACAAACAGCCACCCCTGCAGGATCGGCCCGTCAGTTGATGACCGTGAATAGCGACATTATGGGGATAATAGAAGAAACATCAGAGATTGGAGGAACTAGATTTATTTGTTCAGGCATGCCTGCGGCTTGAGTTCTTGTCGTCTTTGCTGAAGGAGATTATGCCTACCCTTTCGTAACAACCCACGCGCATCCGGTGAAAGCATCTGCTTTCACGTCTGCCTTGCCAATCTGACGTGCAGTTGTGACATTCGGCCGGAAAGCTTTGGCACTGTCGCTATTTAGCGTTTCTAGGAGCCATCTGAGACATATTGAGGCGTGTGATGTGCCTAAATGAGAATGTACAACGACCCCCCATCCGACGGGCTACGTTCAGCTCCGATCTCAAGCCTCACAGAGGACACAAGCTGTAATGATGTTAATATTTTAGCGGGGCAATGCCGGAGCGAACAAAAGCGACGCGATACACATTGAGCGTTTGAATCAAACCACTTGTATCAGGAGAATAAAATGCTCCGGACAGAGCTGGCTACAGGACCTTAAACTACCTCGCGCATCCAAGCAGCCACAAAGAAAATCCAAACTCTTTGATAGCAAGCTATTTGTGACGACGCCTGATGCGCTCATGCGCGTACGAAGAGTTGCGGCAATCATAAAGACGCGGACAGGGCCTGCGCAGTGGCGCCGGCTTATAAAGGAAGAATATAAATCAATAGAGACCTTGAGACTTATGACCAGACCGTGTGTACATGCAAGCGGTACACAGGAGGCAGCGCCGGGAAGTAGAATGGGGTGTGGTGTGGCACTCGTGGTGTAGATATCGACCATGGTGTCCCTTGGTCTCGGTCATAAACTTGACAATGGCAGACCCATGCTGAGTTAGCTGACATATATAGCATTTGACGGGTGTTTGTGACTCATGTAACCAGTATATTCGACGGTACCGACATTTTCTTGCAGGAGGGGAGCAGTGCGAGGTTCCTCTTCAATATGACTCCTCTTCAATATGACAACGCCGCACAGACCTACAGCAAAACCATCGAACGCTCTTGAAAGGGCGGCCTGTAGGCTCGCATCGCTCCGTACCTGCCTCTTCTTTCCATACATCTTGGTGTGTTGTACCCGGATGCAAACTCATCACAGGCTATGACGCCAAGATCAAGGCTACCCCCCAAGGCTTGGAGCCAAGGGCAATATCTGGGGATGGAAGTCTCTGTGACCTGAGATGTTCCTGTCTGATAGAACAGGCAAACATAGCCGAGTACTACATCGGCTTTGGCAAGAGATGAGTGGCCATGTATCAGAGATCTTGTCTCGGGTGATGGTTGCTCTTCCTGGCCGTCAATGTACGGCTGGGGTTGTGGTTACACGAAACTTTTATCCAATCCAGAGAGGAAATCTTGCTTCGTCTCAAAATCACGCGGAAGAGGCGTCCCCTTGGCAGGCGCATCTGCATCTCATTAACCGGCTTGGCTCGTCTAAGTTGGCACATAGCCTGGTGACAATGATGGCTTCAATCTAGACCATGTTCGGATCCGGAGTTTCTGTTGTTCGACTATTCCATTCTCCTTTGTTCCGATCGAAGCATTTTCTCTATGGATTTAATTCCCTTGCCCCGAACATCAAGGTCACAAAAATATTGGACGTATTCCCTTACGGTCTACTCCGGGCCATTCGTAAATGTGCAGAGTAGAGGGCCTTGCAGCGGGGTCATGAACGAATTTCCGCGGCAGTCCCGATAAGCAATATCTAGGGTGGTACGTAGTGTTTTGCAGGGATCCCCGCAGATGAGAGGAAATGAATTGCCCAAGTCTGAGGTTCCGAGTTCCAAGGTCCTCTGGCTGAACCCTGCTCGACGCAGGGTCTTCCACACGTTCAACCTTAAGTGTCAGAGTGGTATTTGTTCTCAACTTCTGCTCGTGTGGCAGGAAAATACGTTTGAGCCAGGTGAGCAGTATACCAGCTTGGGAAAGAGGACATATGTAGCGAGGTAGCACAGGCCAGCAGAATGCCAAGAGTCTTCTGCGCGGGTTAGCGTTGTACATGCTTGACGTTGCGAAATTCACCGGGGTTCTTCCGAATGGCGATCTCCAGGCCGTCAAACAGGAAGTCATGCCTTTCCCGACGGTCGCGATCCAGCAACATGGCTAGACGTGAAGGCGATAAGACCCATATCTTGAGCACAGGAGTATTCTGATTCGTAGTGACCTGAGGAGAGAATCTAGCGGCAATATCGATATTCCCGCCGTCAAAAGCCGCCTCGCGATGGAACCCAGGCCTATAATGATTTCACAAGCAGCACGCCGAGCGCTGAATAACACATTCCTAATCGGTCATATATTTAGCGCATGCCTGGGACGTTTGCCAAAACGCCACCAACTTTTTGGCTCGGGATGACTGGCTAACGCTGCTGTGGTCATATTTTAGCCGGTGGGTCTTGATTAGGGGGAAACACGGTGCCGTAATTTGCAACAAGGTTGACAAGTTTAACAGAGAAGGCAATGCCAACTTGATTTGGATGGCTGTCTTGATGAAAGGATCATCTGTAAGCCGGATGTTAGTTTCGCTCCGTTCTTTTCATTTTGTAGCCACCCGGCGGGTAATCCTTGCAGATGGCTGAGCAGTGCCTGGATACTTTTGCTGTTCCAATCCTGTCAGGTCAGTGGGAAAACTAAACACTATAAACCTGGCAAAAGGAAGGGTTTATTCGTATGACTCTATGATCTTCCTTAGGTAAGATACGAATCGGGCGCCCATACTCCTGTTGTGGAAGTATACAGAAGGTATCAGTAGTTAGTTAGCGCCTTAACTTGAAAACGGGCATTTTACTTCGATGATCAGCAGAGCTGCAATGTACCTCTGACACCACTCCCCTTTGTCACGCTCAAAGTCAGATTCTTAAGAGACAGCATATAGTATGGCTAGCCTGTTGGGTGGCTCCCGGGCAGGTGAGGGACCAAAGGAAAAGTTTAAGAGAAACGTCACTAAATGAAACCAGTCAACACTATCCTTCACTTGTCCAGAACAAGTAAATCAAGCGGTAGGATTGCTCCGAGTCCCGGTTACAGAGACTTTGTGTTGCTGTCTTCCTGAGGCATGCCCCTGGAGCGCCACTTACAGCGGCGTGATAACCAGGAAATGGCTTGTGCATGTGTTAATAGGATCCAGCTGATAACCACCTATGTTTTATCTGCCCTGTCGGAGTATCCGTGTTGCAGGAAGATAGCAGATGAGTGTTTTGTGGTCGCATGAACCTTCTTCTGGGCATGGCTGCTCCACTCCCCTTCACAACGCTCGGGTAAGCCGAGCATCAAACACCTGCAGAGATCAACCTCCGTGGCGTCTCATGGTAAAGAGACGACCGCATCTACTTTCAGTTCTTCTTTATGTCGAAATTAATCTTAGAGACTCTAGATCTCCTCCCTGCAGCCACGCGAGACACGTATATGTTTTTGTACTACTGAAGGCTGTAATAGCACAGGCTCATGATAACTCACCATAGGTCATTGATCTTGATGGCCTGGTGGATCAAATTCGAAGCAGATTGGAGGAACTATTGTCTCCGATAGATCAGAAGTCGCCATCTTAACTGATAGATAACAATCTGCTGGCGGATAAGTGCATGGGGCACTACGACTGTGCTACTGCACGACACGCATAGTTTTGGTTTCGCAAACAGTTCAGGTAATCCTATTATTATTTTTCCATTTTTCGTAAATCCTCAGTGAACAGATAACGCTCTCAGCTTGTTGCGCGGTTGTTCGGATTTGACTTATGGGGAATCAAGTCATAAGGCTGAGAGGTCGGTGGCATGGACGCCCTATAACACACAAGTGAAAGATCAGCCAAAGTTCGAGAAGTCGGAAACGGAACGATCGACAGAGGTGGTACGTATAGGGACTGGAAGGAATCGCAAAGGGATCTAAACCTAGAATAGAGGATTGAGTAATCTAGTCCAACGGCCACTGAAATTATAGTCAATGGTTTCGATGAGCTTCGATTCCTTCCATCTTGCGTGCCTCACATGTAAGTCGAAATGAAGGCTTGCAGGTGTGGCAGCATCTTCAGCAAGTTGCAGGAGGTTGAGGCGTTTGGCTGGTTTGCAGCAGCCAATGAGCGTGATCAGATGATCTCTTTGTAGGGAGTCGAAGGGAGTAGTCACTACTTAGGTGTACTTCTTGTTCCTGTAAGTACTACTCCTCCTCCTAGTGACTTCCGAGGGGCTTTCCAACTTCCAACTTCGCACTACTACAATCACTACATCCTCTTACATTTCATCGGAGCCAATCCCATCCCCTGCACTTCCACTTCTTCCACATTCAGTTCTTCTAGCGCTACCTCCAATTTCCTAATGTGGTAGCATTTCCAGCTCTACCATACACAGTATCTCACTCCACTCATGAAAATTCCTTGTTTTCTCTCTCCTTTTCCGACCCGCTACCACATGGCGTGTCAGCTTATCCTACGGAAGCTCGTATGACCCTCCGACTCTTGAGTCTAGCTTTGGCCCCCAGAATCAGAATCAGCTGGCATTCCACTAACCAGATCGAGTCTGAAGATCGACGTCGCGTGTATGAGCGTCATATCCTATTTTTCGCTGCCGGGTTTCCGAACCTCCTAGCTGACGGTGTACATGACTCGTGATAATATTCTCCTGAGGCTCCTGGTACGAATATCGGGAGTTGGCCGCCGCTAACCCAAGATACGGAGGTTGTACAGTAGTTTAACGCGTGGAGACTCCGCCGGGGTCCCAGAATGGATGGGTGTTGGCGCGTTAGGCTGGCGGCCTCCTGTGGCCTATGCTGGCCCATGCGTCTCGGGGCTCAGCGGAGTGCGTTGCATTTCCCCATCCCCGTCCCTATTCCCTTATCGGCAGGCAACCCTCCTTTTTTTTTCTTTATCTTCCACGAGACCCCAGTCCTACAATATATCTGCAGAAGCGCCCGCCAACCAGAAAACTAGTACATATTCGCACCAAGTCCGATGCAGCTGTTCCTGCTATTGCGATGGGGGGAAGATAGCAGTTGACTAGGGCACTCCACGGATAACATGAGAGACCCCGGAAGAATACGTGATCAAATCAGGAAATTGGCTAATTCGTATTCAATGGTTCAGGATCTACCTCGTATCTGTGGATGACGCTGGAATCGGGTCTGACCTAGACGGAAGCATCGCGCAATATCCGCACCGTCGACTCAGAATCTATTTCCAGCAGGCCCCGGTCCACTGTGGCACAAGCGACACTCGCGTGAATTAACCGGCCCCAGGAACCACGTTTCCTTCAGGAATTGATGGACCGTGGAGTCTGGATTCATTATTGCAGAATGTCTGTTTGGGCGGGTGGGGGAGAAGCGTTTCTTACGGCTAGCGTTGACATCCTGCGACAGCGCTAACATGCGGGCCATTCCGCTGCCAACGTGCTAGACACTCCTCACCCTCCTGCTGTGCCAATATTGTGCATAGAGGGGGCCTCCTGATACGCTGAGCTAACCAAGGGCATGTGTGAAACGATGGTCGGCCTAACAGATGCCTAGAGAATTAGAGTGTGGCGAGGTATACGGGATGGCGGACATGCCAACCGTCAGACAGACAGCAGATGGGATCCGGGTGGGAGCGCTAAGCCCGTTAATAAGCGGAATGACAATCAGGGTTGGTGGCCGTGGAATTATGTCCACTGCAAAAAAGGACGTGTGGCTTTCTGCGGTTACATCCGAATAGTAAAACAAAAGAAAAACTTCCGCTGCAATGTGATGATCAATCCGGACTAGCTGGCGACCATTGCGGTCTCATGTATGGCCGGATTATATTTTATTTATCTTGCCTAACGCGGATGGCTTGGACTTGGGCGATCGCCGCCTGGCGTGGCGTTGCGTTCTGGATTTTCAAACGGGAGATCGAATCCAAGACATTCATCCTATCGAAGGACTATGGAGCCGAGGGGGAGGCACGCGCTCCGTGGTTGGTGGAGCAGCCTCCACGGGCTGAAAAATACCAGGGATGCAGGGCAACTTCAGATTAAGCCATGCAGGCGCCCATACATCCCCCATTCGTCGAGCAATTATCTCAGCAGGAACTAGGGTGACCTTCGTTAGGTTGGGTGAATCTTGTTAAATACACCCCATGCTAAAATTACGCAGACTAAGCTACAAGCTACGGTTTCGGGGGGGTTCCGCAGTCTGCAGGCCGAACGGGGGATAATCATCCCCCTCGAGTCGGGTCAGATGTACGAAAAAAAAAGGATCAGAATCCTTCCATTTGCTTCCCGATCGGTCCTTAGGGTAGCTTGAGCGAGCCTTGACTAATCTGGCCTGTTATTTCCCCTCAACAATCGCCCCGGATCCGAAATGGGTAGCCCGGAGGTTGTACTTATCGACAGCGTCCCCTCGGTGCCTTTCCCTCTTCTCTGGTCCTAATATCCATACTACGTTGACGCATTTATATCTCATCCACCTTCCTCCCGGACGCGGCTCGTTAATTTCTTTTAACTTCTTCTCTGGGGCTTCTCCAAACAGCTTAGCTGTCTGTTTTAACTGAGTGCGGCTACTAAGCTATGCCCGCTATGACCATTACGCTGAGTGACCAGACACATACCATGTCTGAGGCCTCACCGAAGAGGGATGGCATCGCCGGGACAGAAGTCAAGAAGCCAGGCACTCGGCATGGCCATTCCCAGAGCAACTGCCATCACCTGCCGCCTCCCCCATCGCAACCCACTGCGGAAGGGGAATACCGATGCGGAATCTGCAACAAGACATATAGTCGACGTAGGCCGCCCTTTCTTATGATCGCCCAATGTTGACACATTTCTCTCCTGAGTCTCTTGATCATACTCAGAGACACGGCCACTTATGCACAGACTTGTGGTTAACCAGATAATAGGTGATCTGCGGGACCGGCACCGTCGCCGTTGTATTAAGAACATTGGCCAGGAACGCCAGTCCAAGCGCAAATCCTGCGACGCCTGTGCGCAGAAGAAGCTGCGGTGTTCCATGACCCGGCCCTCCTGTAGTCGGTGTCTGCAAAGCCGACGGCCTTGCGTGTATCCGCAATCTTCTGTTCCTGTTCAAACTCCCAGTCTTGATGATGCCCAGGATAATATTGCTTCGTCTGCCGGTTCCATACACTCTGTTCCGATCTGTGCTGGTATAATACCTGGTGGCACGACATGGGCCCTCCCAACATATCCGTTCGACACACCATCTACCGCGGATGAACTACACGATGTCTCGGGCTCCTCGTGGAGCCCCGAAACTCCAACGAATGCCGATCTTGCGTTCCATGCCGTTAATGAGAGTACTATGCTTCCAATGCAAGATGCCTCGTTGATGAATTCTCCGCCCTGGCAAGACGATCTTCATGAACAGTCCGAAACATTTGGGCTAGAGGAGTTCTTTCCCGGGTCGCTTGACAGTTGTTCGCACGCTATGTATATGCCACCGACGATGAGGTCCTCTCCAGTGACCATGGTCCCTCCCACCCCGGCTACTCTCCCGGGTGACTCTTATGCCGCGGGTGGCGGACTGAATATGTCGTCGGTATCTCCTGGATATTTCGATAATATCTGGCCGGATATGGCGTCTAACGACGATGAAAACGAAACTTGGCGGTTCAGCACGTACACACATAGCCTGACAGGATCGGGGTTCGGCCAAAGCTTCCTGCCCAAAACAAGTCATCATAGCCCAGGTGACGTTGGTGACCTCTATCAAGAGCTGTTCAGTCTGCTACGCGAATACCCTGGGTTGGCTCTGCAGAGACAGTTCTACTCGCCCTTCCTACATCATGAGCTACAAGGGTATGCGATGCAATCAATGGGCCAGCCACTTAGAACCACTCTGAGTTCGATATCATCCTATGCTAATTATCTGGAGACCTGCGATACATTTGACCTGTCAATGCACAATGGGGAGCGCCTTGCAGCGGCAGAAGGCTGCGTAGTAGCGCTTCATGCGGTGTGTGTTCAACAGATCTTGAGCCTTTTCGGAGACAATTTCGCCACCAAAGGCCTCAGCAAGCTCCCAAGCCTTACAGGCGACCAAGGGCACCCCGAGACCCCTGTTGACATTCTCTTGAGGGTATGTAACCCCCCCCCCCCCCCCCCCCCCCCCAACTCCGATTGCCCTACGCCTCACCCTACGCTCTGAGCTGACCTGGGTGGGCTTTAGATGACGCAACGGGTCTACAAACTTCACGAGGACATTCTTCGTACCCCCCATGAAGATGAAACGGATTGGCGGCGATGGAAATTCGCCGAATCCCTGCGACGTAACATTTTCTTCGCCAATATAATCCGCACATTAGCAGGACGGGCCCGCCGTTACAACGGGATCAACATTGACCCGCTAGATAGCGCGATCCTTCTTCAGCTGCCGTTGCCGGCGCCGGAGGAAATGTGGCGAGCACGCAGCGAAGGGGAGTGGATGATAGCCCGCGCACAGACGCAGCGGTCGTGGGCGCGGGGGGTGGATGGTAGCATGCTGCCAGCCCTGCGGACCCTTCAACAATTGTTGGTATTGGAAGAGGTTGGCAGTGTAAGTGTTACGTTATTGCTTCCCATCACACGCATGATTCTGGCGTGCGCCAAGCTCAACGGAGCTTCATATGGCTGAGGTGGACCGGTGGGCCCGGCGATAGGGCGAATATGATCGTCACGGTTGAAATTCTTTTGGCATGATTTCTTGTTTCTAAATACCCTGTTGTTCTCACGAAGACTACGATCATCGTGGGATGTATAGTTCTGTGTGCCCGCTGAGGAGGTAGACTAGATTTGGATTGTGCGAGGCTTTTTTATTACTATTATTATGATGCTCATTGTTTCTTTCCGTTTTGTCGTGGAATTGACACCGAAATCGGAACCCAATTCCGTGGGGGATCTCGACATTGATAGATCCCATCACGTCTTTAGCCGCCACCGGATTTTGAAGCTAGCTAGCTATCGGCAACAACAAAGTCCGTGCCAACCTACACGTATCAACGAGGGAAAAGAATGAAATCAGCAAGCCGAAAAGAGAAAAAAGAAAAGACCGGGGCTGCTGCCGGGCGCATGTACGAGGGAGGACTGGACCTTGGGGCTGGGCTTGGCTGGCTGAGACGCCAAAACCCGGATACACGGCGATGCCGAGGCCTCGACTCACGACGAACATGCAGGCCGTCAGGCAGGCAAGGCCGACCAGCGGGAGCAGGAGGAATCGCGACCGGACGGCGAACAGGGTCCAGGCAGGTTAGGAAGGACAGGTTCAGCGAGCGGATACGGTACCTAGTACTTAGATAGTCAGTGCTGCTTAGTTCTGACCAGCGAACTAGCTTTCCCGCGGATGGTAACCTCCGGCGGGGGTCCGGCATCCACCCGTGGGATTTACTTGGGGGTCTTTTTGTACCTCTCGTGTCGATCGCAGCTATCTCCTCCGAGGTTCAGGGCCAATCGTTGGTCTGCAGGCGATGCAGTAGTGTCGACGGACTAGGACGAGTTGGTTAACATCTCCTGGGTGGTGGATTGGTCTCGCCGAAGTAGTAAGTAGTGCTATGCTATCTATCTATCTAGTACTAGTCGTTGCTTTCATGGTAATGAGGATAGGAGGTGGGAGGGGGGGAGGGTGTGCTATCCCACTATGTTCTATTCATTATTTTCTTTTTCATCGTAAGGTGCCACCTTGATGGAGTACACCATCGCAACAAGTCTTGTGATGGTCTTTTGTCTTTGGGGTGGTTATTTCCACCACCCCCACTGATACGCATACACCCATTCCATATCCACTAAAGCAAAGCATCCGCCGCGCAAAAAAAAAAAAGAGGATAACAGAAGACAACAAGTCAAGCCAGAAGAGGGGTAAAAAGGATGAAACCTAATCTCGATAAGCGCCGCCAAGTCCTGCAGGTCAATCTAACTTGCCCTCCTCCTTCTGTGTTTTATCCCGACCAAGAAAGGAAACCAAGCAAAACGAAGGCGAATCCGGCCCCCTCCGTGTTATTCTCTCCCAAGATGGGAATATGCTATGCTTGGCTGCGAGTTTGCCGATGAACACCCTGACCTTTTCCCCCGCCACTCGCCTCCTGTGCCGAGTACTTGGCTATACGCTGAATGACCATTGTTTGATGGTGTGTTGGCGTGCTGGGTGTTGTTCTTGGGTTACAGAGAGGAAAGTCTTGGGAGAGGTCTTGGTGAAGAGGAGATGGTCTGGGCATAGTCCGGCTACTAGGTAAGTAGCGGATTACTATAAGATCGCTAAGTTAAGAGTGGAGCAGGTGTATACGTATGTATCCCTATTTTGAATGCTGATGCCAAGACGTTGGCAGGAGAGGAGACAGAGAGGGAGGGGGGGAGGGAGGGAGGGAAGGGCCTGTTTTGTCCCTTAGGCACTGACTACACTTGGCTTAATCTATACTATCTTCTCACTACTTCGGTAGTCTACTTGGTGAGATACTACTTCCTGTTTATGCAGCTGAGTCTCGGCGAAGTGGGGTGGGGGGGATGCTAGCACTAACAGGTAGTAGGATTCAGTTCTCGTCACTGCGTGCGCGCGCTGCCGCTCTCTTTCTCTCTCTCTGTGTGTGCTTGCAGGCAGCTACCTAACTAGCTAATCAACTCTCTGCCCAGCATCACTCCTACCTATCTGGTTCGGGTTCGGAACCCTCGGGGCTCCGGTGGTTAACCAGATGATGCTGACGATATTGATGATGATCATATCCGCGTTAGAAAAGACGGTTGGACGATTACCAGCCCAACCGATCCAACCGAACTGAAATGCAATGAACCCTCCCTGAACCGGGAACGATCATTGCGGATGAAACAATGATCGCTGATGCCAAGCTCTTCTGCAGTGGAAAAGGGAGATCCACGCGGACGGAGGATTATGCAGTGCCAGTTACATGCTACTAGTAATTAGTCCTACCTACCAACTTGCACCGTGGGTAGTAGTACTACTACCAGGATGATGGATAGAATTTGTCCGTCTTGGTGAACTTTCTTTTCTGCAGCATTGACAGTGTGCCATTGCATTGCATTCTCATTTTATCGCTATCTCGCCTAGTTTTCTGCAACCATCTTATCAAATTAATTACCTATCATCGGTCTATATGCATCTAATAAATAAATCCCGCATCTGGATGTTATCTATCAGTCGCTGCTTATATGCCGAGAAAAACAACTAGCATACTGACAAGGTCCGCGGAGCTAGGCATTCATCATCCTCGTTACGAACTTGCACTAATTGATACTAGGTAGGGAGGTCAATGGAGACTTTTACTAGGTTCCCTTGGGGATTAATCGCTCTGCTATTGACATGCCACTGTCTTTCCTAGGTTATAATCCGCTTCATTAACCGACTACTTACGGAATAGATGCCTCGGCCTGTAATGTGCGGACGAGGCTGGCACGTCAACGAGAATAGACTCAGCCGCGTGCTAAGCCAAGCCGGTAAGGTGACCGGCAAGGAGCGGGCCGGAAGGAGTGAGACATTCGCTGAAGAAGTGGAAAATAGCAAAAGGGGAGAATCATCGGAGGAACTTAGGATTTATTTTGTGTATAGCATGATCCCTTTACTTTGCACATTCTGCTGGAGCCTGGCCCACACGGAAGGTAAGAATAACAAACATAACACAAAGTACGATGTAGCGTAAAGGTCCTCATGTGTCTTGCTGATTACTGTTAGATAATTCCGTAGTTTATCATGAGTAAGATGATGGAGGAGTAAGATGAATAAGGTTTGAATGTCTCTCATGAGGTAGATTAAACCGGCGGGCGACGTTAAAGGGAATTGCGATTGTTGATCTTCATGTGGTTGGACCCTGTTTCATTCCTTTTGCTTTTGCTTCTGCTTGTAATTACATCCTTGACGACTGTATGGTGGTCTGCCTACAGACATTACCCTAACACACAGACAACAATATCCGTATAGTCCTTCCTCCCCAACCACTTCATCCTTCAAACGATCTAATCACCCAGGATCAGAGATAACAACCCCCCTCCTCATCCTTCAGCAGCGACAGAAGTCCTGCATAACTCCTGATTATGCCCCCAACCATCGTCACAATGCCCCCACCCCCAGTCCAAACCAGCAAAAGCACAGAGAGGATCCGATATTCTCCTAACGAGCCCAGGATATGAATCCTGTCGGCTCCAACTTCTCCCGAGGGCAAGTCAAATCCACCCATTCATGCAGTGAGTCAGTAAATCAAACACGAAGTACGCAATACCCCTACTATATTACACCCAATTATTTACCATTTTGACGTTTTCTTCCATATAGCAAACACATATCGCCCCTAGACTAAGACTCCGGAGTGGCAACGGAGTCGGGATCGGAAGAATATGGTCTGCTTCACATAATCATTTTACTGCTGGATTACTAGATAGTCCGGGGATATTCCGCGTTTAGGCTACCGTGTGGATGCCTTGGAGGGTCAAGTATTAGCCTCTCCAGTTTCTAATTGCTGATCAAGATGTTTTTCAGTGGAGGTGGTTACCTAACTACGTTGCATCTAGTTTAACAGCTTCAGGATGGTCTCCATTGTGGACTCTTATCTGTTGTACAGGTGAGGCTATATTGATAGTCATAGTAGGTATTGGTATATCTGCACCTGCGATTACTTACCTGAAGTAGAAAGTGTTGAACATCGTTATTACTGGTCAAAATTATCCCTCTGTTAGCCGCAGGGCGGGATATACACGATACGAAAGCTGCATCTGCCTGGTGTGGTAAATCGATCCCATCCACCCGTTCGCTGTGGAGATGGATCACATCAGTTGCCGATTGTTGCCTCTACGGCGAATCCTTACCCTCCGATATCCGCTGCATGCTTGCCCAGAAAGCTTCTATAATCCTTTGCTCCAATGCGGATGTGATTGACAGGGAGAGACGAGGGGTGGTGGACAGGAACCAGATACGTGCCGTGTCTACCTAGGGGTGTGATGATGTCTGTGGGTAATCCCTCTTTTTGTTATCGTGCGACATACCATTCTCTGTGAGTGGTTGTCTGGTCTTTCGCCACTTGGTTATTCACATATGCAGGTGGAGGGTCCAGGACGGCAGGGCTACATGTTACAGCTGGGGAAGGTAAAACGGGAGTATTCCTGTCTCGGGAGCTACTCATCACACGGAGGTTGATGGAGGGAAGGATAGTTGATCCATTTGACCGAAAGACCTCAAGGACATTGAAGACTTAATCGAGAGAAAACAATTACTATCATTGCGTATGTTCATATCTTCTTTCTACTATCTCATCATACTGTCTGACAAAATATCCGCCTCGTGAGCTAACCCCCATTCAAATATAGAAGGTCGTGGTATCATCCAACATATTGATCTTCTTCCTTACTGCACCATCCTTCACCACATTAAGTCGAACTACTCCTCCAAGCACCTCTAATAATTCCCAAACTACCATCTTCGTCATTCCGGTCTACTCTATCCTCGAATGCTGCTAATGCTGATCCAGACGATATTCCCAAGCTGAAAATTACACGAAAAAAGTCAAATTCATCTTCACTGACACTCCAAGGAGGATGACAACGGGCACACCCATGCATAGCCCATCATTTTCCTTGCCTGGACGCAACATAAGTTATACTTCGTTTCCCAGGTGGATGTTACTGCAGAAGTAAGAAATTCCAGGGAACACTCATTGTCGGAGAGACCATTGCTCAATCCTCTATTTTTCTAAAATGAAAAGCATTATATGAAAGCCGCCGTCCACATCAAGCTCTCTGTCTGTATCATGGTTTCGGTACATCTCACGTCTCGTCTATTGATGATTCCATATCTGTTCATTTCTTGACGAAAAACTCTTGAGTGCCCATACCGCACGCTCCATATCTCCATCACTGATGTTCCGGTCATAAAACCCCCTTCGTTGAGAGCAAATTCTCACCATTGACCCAATAAATGAAGTATGCGAGATGGTCGTCTGTGTTCAATTATTAGCGAGCTGGAGTACCAGCTGCAGGCCTGTTCTACCTTCACCAAGGTCGAATTTGGCTTTGATCTTCGGAGTCACAAACTTGCACTAAATCTACTTGAATGTCAGCAAGGCGCTTTCTGTAAATTTCAAATGCCGAGAAATCCTACCCTGCCACAATTCTCCTACCTGGTCTGCCATCATAGCAGCTAAAAGGTGTATTAGTATCACACTGTCTTGTCAGACCCCTTATTATAACAAGCCACTGCAGGCAAACAGGCAGTTTACACTTGCTGGAAGGCTACGTTCGTCTTTATAAAAACTATGGTCGCCATGCACCGTCCAAGATATACTCAATTTCCCCCTAGCAAAGAGAAAGCCCTACAGAGCCAAGCAAATCACATCCTTATGGTCTTCCCAAATCTTATGATATTGCAAACCCAGGGTGATAATAACTACCTTATTGAGCAGCTTCATCGATGGAAGTCGGTGTGGGTTCCCTTTGCTGGCAGCATTTGGGTCGAAGTTTAACTTAAGAGTATAAACTAGCTCATCCTTCTTCTAGAGACGTGATACTCGTTCGTGACGCGCGTGCATTGTAGATCCGTCAAATAGAGGTACCTTGGTCAACGCCTAAGGGTATAGACATGTAACTTGTCGTGTATATCTCGTTTGCGTATTGTGATGTTCTCAATATCCATGGATAGAGTGAGTCCGCTACTCTTTCTCCGGAGTCGCACAGGGAGATTATTGTTTCTTCGCCGCAGCAATTAGGCGCTCAGCTAGAATGTCTTGGCATAACCCCGTAGTTGGCATCTATTTGGTTCGCTTCTTGACTTCGTCATTTCTTGTAGTATCCTCGCTGATTCTCTTGTATTGGTCCAGCTTTGAAGGGCCTTTCATGTTGGTTACTACTGACCTAAGTCTCTTGTTTGCTATAGCAATAGATTTCATATGGTTATAGCCGGAACATCTTGAATGTATTAATCGTCTTCTTCGTTTTTTTTTTGGGAGATCTGCCAATAATATGCACGATGTGTCATGCTTGATGTTTCATTTGTGGTCAAGAAGACTGTTCCGCTTGAACAAGTCACTCCGTGAAGACTAACTACCCCAGTCAAACAACGCCCAAGCACGCACGACGAGATATTATTGACGACGTCACACATGCATAGCATGACAAGCCTGCTCTACACAGTAGAGCGAATGACTGTTCGAGGACAACAATCAGCATTTCCAGACACCGCTCAAGAAAGATCGATATAGTTCCTCCCTCCCGAGGGTATCTTCCTTTTCGTAGATTTACCATTTGGGTTTGTTCAACGCCAGCGCAGCTGCCGCTTCACGCTGATAGACAATGGTGTTATACATGGCATCAGCATGCTCGGTAACATTCCGCATCACATATGCGGTGATGGGATGCTCGTAGCGCGGCGCCTCCTGGCCCTTCTGGACAAACGCCTTGTTAGTAGCCGTCGGATATGTGGTGTCTGATAACGAAGATGATCTAAGTACATGCAGTAAAACAGCTGAAGAAGATGTTGTGTTTGAGACCTCCCTCTTAAGGAAGAAGATGCCCGCGGAACATTGACTACTAATTGTGCATTGGATAATTTGATTCACGAATATAATCCCATGAAACCAGTTATCATGTAAAAGGCGGTATCAGACTTTTATATAAGATCTTTGAACTCGGAGACAACAGCTTAATTTTAGCGTCATGCTTCTTGGTTAATGTTTTATCAGGGATAACTTTTTCGAAACACCGGCAAAGAACGAAAAGGAACCACAATCGCGAGGTAGAAAGAGAAGAGGAAGAGGAACAATTCTTTTTCTGTTGTTCTATATCGTAGAGTTCAAGTATATTTATCAACCACTTTTCTGTCTTTACACGGCAGGCTTCTTGGTGGTCATGTTCTAATACTTGCAACATTACCAGTTCTTTCCGTAACTCCTTTCTTTCGTAGTCTCTGGGCTTCTGTGAGTTATCTTATCGGGGGTAGAACCCGGGATAATCACGCTGGCATCCTCAAAGGTGTCGATTATCTATAAACCCAGTTAATATCAATATGTATCAATAAGATGGGTCTGCTTCCATTTCTTCATCATGCGATGCCAGTGCTCTTGTCCAACGGCCGGTCGAGAGTGTCCCATTTGCTATGAAGAAAACCAATGGCTGCTATTGGTAGCATTTGGTGGTTCATGGAGGAAGCTTGGCATAACCGCTATCTTTTCGTGAAATATACAACACGACCAGTTCAGTGGACCGGGTATTCGCGTTCGTAGAACTGGGAAGCGGCATCGTGTGTTGATATCATGTTCGAGTGTTTTCGAATATCCCGTGAGAGAGCCTTGGCTAAGGTAATACTTGTGATTGCATCTAAAAGGGACCCATGACCAGGATGAATAGGTAGATGATGTATATCCTGCTTTTTCTCTATGTTGAGAAGCTGGTAATTGCTAACGACGAGCAATCGACCCAAGAGTGGGTGTCAATGTAGCTTATAACTTTGACAAGCTGGCTATCTCTTGCAGAAAGTATCAAAGGAGGTGAATATGACCGTACCCTCCACGGACTCTGTATGAGGCCTTCCGAAGTTGGGTCGCCCATTCGTAAGTAGAAATGCTCGGATGTCTTAGAAGGTTTCCAACGGGCCGCGCGACGATAAGATGTGCTTGCTGTATTCTGTACTTCATGACATGTAGCACTATTTATATCTATATATATCTCCCCCTTCAGTATCCACCATCAATGGGAGCCAGTCACGTCTCGAAGTCTCCCAGTTCCACGAGATTGTATTAAATAGTATATCGGCTTGGGTAAGATGCAGCCACCGGAGCTACTCCTGGTGGAGAGTTGGTTCATCCGTCTAGCAAGTAGGTGGCATCCAAAGACTTATAGATGACCACTGTTAGGCGAAGTTGAACCCAGGTATATCAGACCAGGGTGGGTCATTCTAGCGTTCCTGTTCACGGCTGTCTGGATTTACCTGCGCATCTGGCTCTGGCCGTCCTTATGACAATATGATTTCGGTGCAGATGTTGGCATTTTTACGCCGAGAACCTGAGTCCTGATGCGTGAAACTGGCATTTCGCAGTTATCATATAGAAAAAGTATCTTACCATGATTTTCCTCCATTTCTATAATTAAACCGGAATCGTGAACGGTGGTTTTCCCCTTCCTTTACTAGAATCCAGCTCAGGGGAGCTTCGCCTCATTGCTGGCCAGGTGACACGGATGCTGGAGAGACCGGTGGGATTCGATTGTGATGGATGCGGATGGTTCTTAGACTGGAT